CATTTGCAAAAAGAGCATATCACGTATTCAGCCCGTAGAGGTGAGGTCAGGCATGGAGAGATACCAAACAGGCAATCATTAAAAGTACCATTTATTAAGTCATTGAATTATAATGTTATTACATTATACAGCCTGTGGTGTTCCTCGTGGGTGTTTTCAAAGAAGAAAAAACAAAGAGCCTTGCCTCCGAAAAAGGATTGAAAAACAATTTGACGTTAAGTAGGGGCAATAAGAGTTGAGTGGAAGTGTTATTCATTCAAAACAATATATCGAGTAACTACACTCATGAAAGCTCATAACAATATTTGACAGCATTTCCCAGCCCCATCCGCCAGGGGGCGTTCCAATTAAAAAGGAAAGGGTTAGGGTTGGGTTTTGGGGTTGGGGTTTGGGGTTAAACTGAAGCTGTAGTAATAGCGAAGAAACTCAAGATGGCCCTCTGGGAAATGGCCCTCATTTGCATATGAGCATTTCACGTTATCAGCCAGTAAGAGGGAGGCAGGTGGAGAGACAGAACAGGCTATATTTAAAGTCATTTATTAAGTCATGAACTATATTGTTATTACATGTACTGCCTGTGGTGTGCCTCGTGGTGGTTTCAAAGAAAAAAACAAAAGTGCCTTGCCTCCAAAAAGGTGAAAAACAAAGACGTAAGTAGGGCAAAATGAGTTTGAGTGGAAGTGTTCAGTTACAAATCATATATCGTGTAACTACACTCAAGAAAGCTCAGTAACAAAATTTGACAGCCCCCAGCCCCATCCGCCAGGGGCGTCTACCAATGGGGTTAGGGTTAGGGTTTTGGGGTTGGGGTAGGGGTTAACTGTAGCATGTATAGCGATTTCCCTCAGTTGGCCCTCATCTTGCCAGAGCATTTCAGTTTCAGCCAGGGAGGCCAGGTGGAGAGACAGAACAGGCTATATTTAAAGTCATTTTTAAGTCATGAACTATATTGTTTTACATGTTCTGCCTGTGGTGTGCCTCGTGGTGGTTTCAATGACAAAAACAAAGTGCCTTGCCTCCAAAAAGGTTGAAAAACAATGACGTAAGTAGGGCAATATGAGTTGAGTGGATGTGTTCAGTTCAAATCAAATATCGTGTAAACTACACTCATGAAAGCTCAGTAACAATATTTGACAGCATTTCCCAGCCCCATCGTCCCAGGGGGCGTCCAATATAAAAAGGGTACGGTAGGGTTATTGGGTTGGGGTTGGGGTTAACTGTAGCTGATAGGTATTAGCGAAGAAATTCACAGATGGCCCTCTGGGAAAGGCCCTCATATGCATAATGACCTTCCACGTTTCAGCCAGTAGAGGGAGGCCGGAGTGAGAGACAGAACAGGCTATATTTAAAGTCATTTTTAAGTCATGAAACTATATTGTATTACATGTTCTGCCTGTGGTGCCACGTGGTGGTTTTACAATGAAAAAAACAAAGTGCCTTGCCTCCAACAAAGGTTGAAACAAAATGACGTAAGTATGGGCAATATGAGTTAGTGGATGTGTTCAGTTCAAATCCATATATCGTGTAACTACACTCATGAAAGCTCAGTAACACTATTATGACAGCAATTCCCAGCCCCATCCGCCATGGGAGCGTTTCCAATTAAAAAAGGGATTAGTGATAGGTTAGGGTATTTGGGTTGGGGTTGGGGTTAACTGTAGCTGTAGGTATAGCGAAGAAACTCAAGATGGCCCTCTGTGAATGGCCCTCATTTGCATAAGAGCATTTCACGTTTCAGCCAGTAGAGGGAGGCAGGTGGAGACCAGAACAGGCTATATTTAAAGTCATATTTTAAGTCATGAACTATATTGTATTACATGTTCTGCCCTGTGGAGTGCCTCGTGGTGTTTTTTCAATGAAAAAACAAAGTGCCTTGCCCTCCAAAAAGGTTGAAAAACAATGACCTAATAAGGCTCATTATGAGTTGAGTGGATGATAGTTTCAGTTCAAATCATATATCGTTAAACTACACTCATGAAAGCTCAGTAACAATATTTGACAGCATTTCCCAGCCCCATCCGCCAGGGGGCGTTCCAAATTTAAATGGGTATAGGTTAGGTTAGGTTTTGGGGTTGGGGTTGGGGTTAACCTGAGCTGTAGGTATAGCGAAGAAACTCAAGATGGCCCTCTGGGAATGTGCCCATCATTGCAATGAGCACATACACGTTTACAGCCAGTAGATGGAGGCAGGTGGAATAACGAACAGGCTATAATTTTAAAGTCATTTTAAGTCATGCACTATATGTTTTACATTATCTTGCCTGTGGTGGGCCTCGTGTGAGTTTTCACTGAAAAAAACAAAGTGCCTTGCCTCCAAAAAGGTTGAAAAACAATGACGTAATGTAGGCAATATGAGTTGATGGATGCATTTCCGTATTTCAGTTCAAATAAAAATATCGTGTAACTAACACTCATGAACAGACAGCATATATTTAATATAAAAAATAGTTAGGGTTAGGGATTTGGGTGTAGGGTTGTGGTTTAACATTTATAGCGAAGAAACTCAAGATTGGCCCAGCTGAGAATCCCTGAACTTTCATATCAGCCAGTTGTTTTACATGTTTGTTATACTGTTCTGTGGTGTGCCTCGTGGTGGTTTCAATGAAAAAAACAAAGTGCCTTGCCTCCAAAAAGGTTGAAAAACAATGACGTAAGTAGGGCAATATGAGTTGAGTGGATGTGTTCAGTTCAAATCATAATATCGTGATAACTACACTCAATAAGCTCAGTAACAATATATTGACAGCATTCCCAGCCCCAACCGCCCGGGGGCGTTCCAAATTAAAAAGGTAGGTTAGGGTTAGGTTATTGGGTGTTGGGGTTGGGTTAACTGTAGCTGTAGGTATCGCGAAGAAAACTCAAGATGGCCCTCTGGAAATGGCCCTCATTTGCATATGAGCATTTACGTTTCAGCCCAGTAGAGGGAGGCAGGGGAGAGACAGAACATGCTATATTTAAAGTCATTTTTGAAGTCATGAACTAATATGTTTTACAAGTTCTGCCTGTGGAGAGCCTCGTGGTGGTTTCAATGAAAAATAAAAAGTGCCTTGCCTCCAAAAAGTGTTGAAAAAACAATGACTAAGTAGGGCAATATAGTTGAGTGGATGTGTGTTTCAGTTACATATCATAAGTATCGATAAACTACACTCATGAAAGCTCAGTAACATATTGACAGCATTTCCCAGCCCCATCCGCCAGGGGGCGTTCCAATTTAAAAAGGTAAGGGTGTTATGGTTATTTTAGGGGTATGTGTGTTAACTGAAGCAGAAGTGTAAAGCGAAGAAACACAAGATGGCCCACTGTTAAATGGTCCCACATTTGTCAATGATGCCTTTATCAACGTATCAGCCAGTATAGTGATGCAGGTGGAGATACAGAACAGGCTATATTTAAATGTCCATTTTAAGTCAATGAACTTAATTGTTGTTAACATGTTACTAGCCTGAGGAGGGCCTCGTGTGGTTTCATTGAAAAAAACATAAAGTGCCATGACTCCTAAAAAGGTGGAAAACCAATGACGTAAGTAGGGTCAAATAAGAGTTAGAGTGGATGTTTATCAGGTCAAATCATATATCGGTAACAACACCACTGAAAGCTCAGAAACAATATTTTTACAGCATTCCCCAGCCCCATCCGCCATGGGGGCTTTCCAATTTAAAAAGGGTTAAGTGTATGTTAGGGTTTGGGGGTGGGTTGGGGTTACCTTGTAGCTGAAGTATAGCGAAGAAACTCAAGATTGCCCGCATGAATGGCCCTCATTGTGCATATGCGCATTTCACGTTTCAGCCAGTAGAGGTGGAGCAGGTGGAGAGCCAGAACAGGCTTAGATTTTAAAGGCATTTTTAAGTCATGAACTAAATTGTTTTACATTTCTGTCCTGTGGTGTGCTCGTGTTGGTTTCAAGAAAAAAAAAAAGTGCCTTGCCTCCAAAAGGTTGAAAAACAATGACTTAAGTAGGGCAAAGGAGTTGAGTGGATGTGTTCTTATCAAATCATATATCGTGTAACTACACTCATGAAAGCTCATAACAATATTTGACAGCATTTCCCATCCCCAATCCCCATGGGCGGATCCAATTTAAAAGGGTAGGTAGGGTAGTTTGGGGTTGGGTTGGGGTAACTGTAGCAGTAGTGATATGCGAAGAAACTCAAGATGGCCCTCTGGGAATTGCCCTCATGTGCATATAGCATTTCACGTTTTCAGCCATTAGAGGGAGGCAGGTGAAGACAGAACAGGCTATATTTAAAGTCAATTATAAGTCATTAACTTATATTGTTTTACATGTTCTGCCTGTGGTGTGCCGCGTGTGGTTTTCAATGAAAAAAACAAAGTGCCTTGCCGCCAAAAGGTTGAAAAACAATGACGTAAGAGGGCAATAGAGTAGAGGATGTGTTCAGATTCAAATCATATATCGTGGTAACTACACACATGAAAGCTCAGTAACAATATTTGACAGCATTTCCCAGCCCCATAACCCCCAAGGTGAGCGTTCCAATATTAAAAAGGGTTATGTGAATAAGGGATAGGGATATTGGGGTAGTGAAGGGGTTGAGTGTTAACTGTAGCAGAATGTAAAGCGCAAGAACCTCAAGAAGGCCCTCATGTGCATGGCCCCACATATAGCAAATGCAGCAATTCACGTATATCAGCCAGTAAGAAGGGCGGCAGGTGGAGGAAGCAGAACAGGCCCAAATTTAAAGTCCTTTTTAAGTCATGGAACTATAATTGTATTAACATGTATTACTGCCCTTGTGTGATCCTCGATGGTCGTTTTCAAAAGAAAAAAACAAAGTGCCTTGACTCCAAAAAGGTTGAAAAACAATGACGTAAGTAGGCAATAGAGTGAGATGGATGTGTTCAGTACACATCAAACTATCAGTGATAACTACACTCATGAAAGTCTGTGAGGCGCTTTGAGTGGCCTTGTGTTGGAAAGGCGCCATACAAATAAAGTTGATTGATTGATTGATTAAGATGCGACAGATGCCATGCATAAGCTATTAGCTACTTTCACTGTTGAGGAGATGGGGAGGCAGGAGGGGAGGGGAGGCGGGAGAGGGAGGGGAGGCAGGAGAGGGAGGGGAGGCAGGAGAGGGAGGGGAGGCAGGAGAGGGAGGGGAGGCAGGAGAGGAGGGGAGGCAGGAGAGGGAGGGGAGGCAGGAGAGGGAGGGGAGGCAGGAGAGGGAGGGGAGGCAGGAGAGGAGGCAGGAGAGGGAGGGGAGGCAGGAGAGGGAGGGGAGGCAGGAGAGGAGGCAGGAGAGGGAGGGGAGGCAGGAGAGGGAGGGGAGGCAGGAGAGGAGGCAGGAGAGGGAGGGGAGGCAGGAGAGGAGGGGAGGCAGGAGAGGAGAGGGAGGGGAGGCAGGAGAGGAGGGGAGGCAGGAGAGGGAGGGGAGGCAGGAGAGGGAGGGGAGGCAGGAGAGGAGGGGAGGCAGGAGAGGGAGGGGAGGCAGGAGAGGAGGGGAGGGGAGGCAGGAGGGGAAGGGAGGCAGGAGGGGAAGGGAGGCAGGAGAGGGAGGGGAGGCAGGAGAGGGAGGGGAGGCAGGAGAGGGAGGGGAGGCAGGAGAGGAGGGGAGGGGAGGCAGGAGGGGAAGGGAGGCAGGAGAGGGAGGGGAGGCAGGAGAGGGAGGGGAGGCAGGAGAGGGAGGGGAGGCAGGAGAGGAGGGGAGGCAGGAGAGGGAGGGGAGGCAGGAGAGGGAGGGGAGGCAGGAGAGGAGGGGAGGGGAGGCAGGAGGGGAAGGGAGGCAGGAGAGGGAGGGGAGGCAGGAGAGGAGGGGAGGGGAGGCAGGAGGGGAAGGGAGGCAGGAGGGGAAGGGAGGCAGGAGAGGGAGAAGTTGGAGGGGAGGCAGGAGAGGGAGAAGACGGAGGGGAGGCAGGAGAGGGAGGCAGGAGAGGGAGAAGATGGAGGGGAGGCAGGAGGGGAGGGGAGGAGGGGCAGGAGGAGAGGGGAGGAGAGGCAGGAGGGGAGGGGAGGTGAGGAGAGGCATGTGGAGAGGGGAGGCAGGAGGGGAGGGGAGGCAGGAGAGGAGGGGAGGCAGGAGAGGAGGGGAGGCAGGAGAGGAGGGGAGGCAGGAGAGGGAGAAGATGGAGGGGAGGCAGGAGAGGGAGGCAGGAGGGGAGGGAAGGCAGGAGAGGGAGAAGATGGAGGGGAGGCAGGAGAGGAGGGGAGTGGAGGGGAGGCAGGAGGGGAGGGAAGGCAGGAGAGGGAGAAGATGGAGGGGAGGCAGGAGAGGGAGGCAGGAGGGGAGGGGAGGCAGGAGAGGGAGGGGAGGCAGGAGAGGGAGGGGAGGCAGGAGAGGGAGGGGGAGGCAGGAGAGGAGGGGAGGGGAGGCAGGAGGGGAAGGGAGGCAGGAGAGGGAGGGGAGGCAGGAGAGGGAGGGGAGGCAGGAGAGGGAGGGGAGGCAGGAGAGGAGGGGAGGCAGGAGAGGGAGGGGAGGCAGGAGAGGGAGGGGAGGCAGGAGAGGAGGGGAGGGGAGGCAGGAGGGGAAGGGAGGCAGGAGAGGGAGGGGAGGCAGGAGAGGAGGGGAGGGGAGGCAGGAGGGGAAGGGAGGCAGGAGGGGAAGGGAGGCAGGAGAGGGAGAAGTTGGAGGGGAGGCAGGAGAGGGAGAAGACGGAGGGGAGGCAGGAGAGGGAGGCAGGAGAGGGAGAAGATGGAGGGGAGGCAGGAGGGGAGGGGAGGAGGGGCAGGAGGAGAGGGGAGGAGAGGCAGGAGGGGAGGGGAGGTGAGGAGAGGCATGTGGAGAGGGGAGGCAGGAGGGGAGGGGAGGCAGGAGAGGAGGGGAGGCAGGAGAGGGAGAAGATGGAGGGGAGGCAGGAGAGGGAGGCAGGAGGGGAGGGAAGGCAGGAGAGGGAGAAGATGGAGGGGAGGCAGGAGAGGAGGGGAGTGGAGGGGAGGCAGGAGAGGGAGAAGATGGAGGGGAGGCAGGAGAGGGAGAAGACGGAGGGGAGGCAGGAGAGGGAGAAGACGGAGGGGAGGCAGGAGAGGGAGGCAGGAGGGGAGGGGAGGCAGGAGAGGGAGAAGATGGAGGGGAGGCAGGAGGGGAGGGGAGGAGGGGCAGGAGGAGAGGCAGGAGGGGAGGGGAGGTGAGGAGAGGCATGTGGAGAGGGGAGGCAGGAGGGGAGGGGAGGCAGGAGAGGAGGGGAGGCAGGAGAGGGAGAAGATGGAGGGGAGGCAGGAGAGGGAGGTAGGAGGGGAGGCAGGAGAGGAGGGGAGGCAGGAGAGGGAGAAGATGGAGGGGAGGCAGGAGAGGGAGGTAGGAGGGGAGGCAGGAGAGGAGGGGAGGCAGGAGAGGGAGAAGATGGAGGGGAGGCAGAAGGGGAGGGGAGGAGAGGCAGGAGGGGAGGGGAGGCAGGAGGGGAGGGGAGGAGAGGCAGGAGGGGAGGCAGGAGGAGAGGAACCGTCAGCTTGATGAAGAATGTGCTCTTGCTAATGGGCAAGAGGGCAATGGAGCGCAGAGATGAAACTACAGACTCTGGCTCAGAGAGAAAGCTGAATATCATAAAGGTTTAATAAATGATGGAGACACGAGGAGCTGCTGAGGACCAGACTGAGGACCAGACTGAGGACCAGACTGAGGACCAGACTGAGGACCAGACTGAGGAGGTGTCCCAGGAGTTAAAGCTGAGGGTCTCTCTCTGGTCTCTCTCTGGTCTCTCTCTGGTCCCTCTCTGGTCTCTCTGGTCTCTCTCTGGTCTCTCTCTGGTCTCTCTCTGGGTGCCCTGCCCGTCCACATCACAGGGAGCGCCAGGTCATGCACTATTCATGACCTCCGCCGCAATCACAACATCAGCTCTTCTGGTTTTATTCTGTCTGAGGTTTCTCTGATCACAAAGAAACTGTGGAAAAGTCAATATTCTGAACATTGGGGACTGAGGTCAAGTCAACTCTAGTCTCCGGTCTCTCTCTAGTCTCTCTCTGGTCTCTCTCTAGTCTCTCTCTGGTCTTTCTCTGGTCTCTCTCTTGTCTCTCTTTGGTCTCTCTCTGATTTCTTTTTCTGGTCTCTCACTCAAATCCCTCTCTCCGGTACCTCTCTCTGGTCCCTCTCTCTGGTCTCTCTCTCTGGTCTCTCTCTGGTCTCTCTCTTCTCTCTCTCTCTGGTCTCTCTCTCTCTGGTCCCTCTCTGGTCTCTCTCTGGTCTCTCTCTGGTCTCTCTCTCTCTGGTCTCTCTCTGGTCTCTCTCTGGTCTCTCTCTGGTCTCTCTCTCTCTGGTCTCTCTCTGGTCTCTCTCTGGTCTCTCTCTGGTCTCTCTCTGGTCTCTCTCTGGTCTTGGTCTCTCTCTGTTTCCTCTGCAGTCTCCAATGTAAATATTTTCCTCTCCATTTGTCACCAGTGAACAATGAGCCTCAGAAACTATTACAAAACCAGAAGTCTCCTCTGGTCTCTTGCTGCTGCTGGTACAGTAATAACAGTTCGTATTGATTCAGAATTAGTTTGAAAACGTTTTGAACAATGACTCTCTCTCTCTGGGGATCGATTTCCAACTGGATCAAAACAGATGCTGCTGTTGTGATTCAGGGAGAAACAGAAAGAACTGAATTCCATCCATCCATTTCCTTCTCCTTAATCCTGGGTCGGGGGGTGACAGTCAGAGCTGCACCCAGTCCACAGAGCACCAGCCTCTCACTGATCCTCCTGCAGGAGCTGAGTCCACAGGTGCTGAGATCTTCCAGCAGGGGCTTCAGGCAAAGTGGGGTTGTGTAAGTGTCTTGCCCAGGACACAACAACAGCAGTAAACTGAATTTACTTGAACAAAACTTTCTTCTTCTTCTTCTCTCTCTTCTTCTTCTTCTCTCTTCTTCTTCTTCACTCTCTTCTTATTCTTCTTCTCCTCCTCTGTGTGAGCGTCCTAAGCAGCTGTTGTCTCTGGAGCCAGACGTATTGCTGTATAACGGAGCTTCACGGGACATTAGAGCAGCAGATGAAAGCTTCATCTCTCACTGTGTTACAGCCTGTTCTTATGGGACACGGATCAGTCACTTTAAAAGACATCACGGGACACTTGCACGTAAGTTTTTAACAGGATAAAGTGTGAGGAAGTATCTATAAGTTTATGCAGAGAGTCAGATGTATCCAAGTACTGCCACAATAAGTAAGTCGGTAAGTAAGTAATCTTTATTTATATACCGCCTTTCACAGACCAGAGTCACAAAGCGGTTTACAATTGTTATTTTTTGTGCATTTGTCTCTCACTCCACACAGTGATGGGAGCGGGGTCGCCGAACAGGAGGCGCATGCCAGACCTACTGTACATGTACATATTTTCAGTGGTAGGGGAAACCGGAGTACCTGGAGGAAACCTACGCAGACACGGGGAGTACATGCAAACTCCACTCAGAAAGGCCCTGGTCCAACTGGGATTCAAACTCAGGACCTTCTTGCTGAGACGCAAGAGTGCTATCCACTCAGCCACCGTGCCGCCCACAATACTTGGATACACAGATGTTCCCAAAACGTAGCAATACTTTTGGTTTATTGAGCAGCATTTTGACAAATGGAGCTTACACCACACTCAAAACCAAGTTCCAGGAAAGGGACACACGCGCACACACACACACACACACACACACACACACACACACACACACACACACACGCACGCACGCACGCACGCACGCACGCACGCACGCACGCACGCACAATATGCACACGCACACACACAAAAGCACAAGTACACATGAAAATCATAGTCCTGAATTTTACAAAACAATATTAAGAGTAATATCAGTTAAACACGTTATTGCGTCAAAGCAAACCATGGATCTATAATAATAACTGGATGGTGTATTACTGGCTTACAGCAGTCCCACCCATTAACACAGGGGGCGCTGTGGTACTGCAGACTAAATTCACAAGAACTACCCAGAAAAAAGTTTCATAGAACAATGTCAATTAAAACAGCTCGACCTCAGCTGACAGAGAACCTGACAGAGAACTTACAGCTTTCAGAAAGGTTGGATTTTGTGGGGATTTTAGTGTCCCTTGTCATCCTGAACTTTTTTTCTTTCCTTTGGTTTTCTTTAAATCCACACTTTACAGCCACAAACTCTGCTGGTTTCCTTCCTGCTCTAGCTCCGCTCTACCACTGCTCTGATTGGCCAAAGCGCGGCCGAGCCCCTCTGTGCACTTGCCTGAGAGCCACACACGCGTATTCGGCGCAAAGCATCATGGGAGATAATCCACTGCGCAGAACTGGGAGGACCAGACGATGCCCAAATACAGGCGAGTTCCGCAAATGGTAATGTTAGTAAAACTACAACACTGCTCTATATGTGGCTGCAAACAAAGCTAAGTATGCTCGCGGCGTGCATACACACACCGGCAGGGAGCAGAGACGTAAGACACAGCAGGCAAAACAAAAGCAGTCGCACTCACTTACTGTTCGTCCATCAGAATCACAACTGTCTCCAAGTCACAGCACAAAGAGACATTTAGAACAGACACAAATGTGGGAAAACTTGACAATAATAATGAGTTAAAGGTACACACGACGATTTCCCCAAATTTTAGGACAGAACCGCCTTGAACAAATCTTTCTGGTCTTATTTGACGAGCACATGTCACCAGAATGATTGACATCTGGGAGGACCAATAGTTTTGATGACAGCAGTCTCCTTTTGACAGCACTAATACATGTTCATCAAGCAGCATAACTCTCCCTCCTGCTGATTAACCGTGTTGTGTGTGATTCTCTGATCTGCTGCTGTGGAATGGATAACTTGACAGTGTGGAGAGACTGACCACGTCCATGATCTGCAGGAGGCTGAAGCTGAAGTGAACCGTGAGGCTGTGGGAGTCGTTCTGAACCGGACGCTCCAGAGGATTATAGTCCTGCATCAGGTCTCTGTACAGTCTGCGCTGGTGGACGCCCTGGAGGGAGGCTGGAGAGAGAGAGACCAGAGAGAGTGACCAGAGAGAGAGAGACCAGAGAGAGTGACCAGAGAGAGAGAGACCAGAGAGAGAGAGACCAGAGTGAGAGAGACCAGAGTGAGAGAGACCAGAGAGAGAGAGACCAGAGAGAGAGAGACCAGAGAGAGAGAGAGTCCAGAGAGAGAGAGACCAGAGAGAGAGACCAGAGAGACCAGAGTGAGAGAGACCAGAGTGAGAGAGAGAGTCCAGAGAGAGAGAGGCCAGAGTGAGAGAGACCAGAGTGAGAGAGACCAGAGAGAGAGAGACCAGAGAGAGAGAGAGTCCAGAGAGAGAGAGACCAGAGAGAGAGACCAGAGAGACCAGAGTGAGAGAGACCAGAGTGAGAGAGACCAGAGTGAGAGAGACCAGAGAGAGTGACCAGAGAGAGAGAGACCAGAGAGAGAGAGAGAGTCCAGAGAGAGAGAGACCAGAGTGAGAGAGACCAGAGTGAGAGAGACCAGAGAGAGAGAGACCAGAGAGAGAGAGAGAGTCCAGAGAGAGAGAGACCAGAGAGAGAGACCAGAGAGACCAGAGTGAGAGAGACCAGAGTGAGAGAGACCAGAGTGAGAGAGACCAGAGTGAGGGAGAGAGTCCAGAGAGAGAGAGACCAGAGAGAGAGAGAGAGAGAGCAGAGAGAGAGAGACCAGTGAGAGAGAGACCAGAGAGAGAGAACAGAGAGAGAGAGAGGTCCAGAGAGAGAGAGAGCAGAGAGAGAGAGACCAGTGAGAGAGAGACCAGAGAGAGAGACCAGAGTGAGAGAGACCAGAGTGAGAGAGACCAGAGAGAGAGAGAGAGTCCAGAGAGAGAGAGACCAGAGAGAGAGAGAGAGAGCAGAGAGAGAGAGACCAGTGAGAGAGAGACCAGAGAGAGAGAACAGAGAGAGAGAGTCCAGAGAGAGAGAGACCAGTGAGAGAGGGACCAGAGAGAGAGAGACCAGAGAGAGACCAGAGAGAGAGAGAGCAGAGAGAGAGAGACCAGAGAGAGACCAGAGAGAGAGAGAGCAGAGAGAGAGAGAGCGAGAGTCCAGAGAGAGAGAGACCAGTGAGAGAGGGACCAGAGAGAGAGAGACCAGAGAGAGAGAGTCCAGAGAGAGAGAGACCAGTGAGAGAGAGAGCAGAGAGAGACCAAAGAGAGAGAGAGCAGAGAGAGACCAGAGAGAGAGAGACCAGTGAGAGAGAGACCAGAGAGAGAGAGTCCAGAGAGAGAGAGACGAGAGAGAGAGAGACCAGAGAGAGAGTCCAGAGAGAGAGAGACCAGAGAGAGAGAGCGAGAGACCAGAGAGAGACCGGGCAAAAAGGACACAAAGAGAGAGAGAGATAGACAGAGACACACACACACACATTAAACAGAAATATTGACATCACAGTAAAACAACAGTGAGCCTCATGGGAAAAGCATGGAGTCAAAGAGACTGGAGAAAAGAGAGATCTCAGATTCTCTCACTATTGACCTGAGGATAAAAAACCTTCAGTCTCTGGAGCTGGAACATCCCACAGAGACTGAAGCAGGCCGTCAGTCTGAGAGTCCGTCTGAGAGTCCGTCTGAGAGTCCGTCTGAGAGTCCGTCTGAGAGTCCGTCTGAGAGTCCGTCTGAGAGTCCGTCTGAGAGTCCGTCTGTGAGTCCGTCTGAGAGGGACCAAGTGAAGTTTCCAAAATGCACCATAATAAACAACATTATTATTATTATTGTGGACAGAAGTCTGATGGTCACAGACAAGCTGCTCCAACACGCACCATGTGTGTCTGACCTGGATCTGTACTGTTTCAGTCCAATGTTATTCTAAAAACAGAACTGAAGCTTATTATTCTGACCATGTGTCACATCACTCTGCAGCCACAACTGGTCCATTCTAAGTTTTACAACAGAATTTCTCTCTGGTCTCTCTCTGTGCTTTGGACTCTCTCTCTAGTCTCTCTCTCTGGTTCCTGGACTCTTTCTCGCTTTGATCTCTCTGGTCTCTGAACTCTCTCTTTTGTCTCTCTCTCTGGTTTCTGGACTCTCTCTTTGGTCTCTCTCTCTAGTTCCTGGACTCTCTCTCTCTTTGATCTCTCTGGTCTCTGGACTCTCTCTCTCTTTGGTCTCTTTGGTCTTTCTAGTCTCTCTGGTTCTTCTAGTCTCTTTAGTCTTTCTGGTCTCACTTCAGTCTTTCTGGTCTCACTTCAGTCTTTCTGGTCTCACTTTAGTCTATCTGGTCTCTCCATAGTCCTTCTGGTCTTACCGTGCAGGAGGCAGCACAGCGTGAGCGCGTGTAGCGGCAGAACCCGACTGTCCATCTTCATCATCCTCCTCATCGTCATCATCACAGAGAGAGTCCAGCCACAAGGTCCCAGAGGAAAAGTGACTGAAGTCTGAGTCCGAGACCACAGACCTTAGACCAGAGTGTGAGGAGGCAGAGCAGATGGAGCCAGAGCAGCAGAGGAGAGAGAGCCTCATCTGTATTCAGGAGAGAGAGAGAGAGAGAGAGAGAGAGAGAGAGAGAGAGAGAGAGAGAGAGAGAGAGAGAGAGACTCAGCGGCTCCAGGAGTTATGAGCAGAGACTGTAATGAAGAATAAAACCTGGACATGTGACCTGCACGGACACAGCTGAGGGGAACAGTCTGAAGTCTTTGTTGCTCATTCATTACAGTCGGCTTGAGGCGAGTATAATAATGCCCCTAAGAAAATATAATACAACATGTTTAAATAAAGTAAAGTGCAAGTATTTCAGTCTCACCGGAATGTACAGAAACTTATCTCAAACATCTGCCTATAGTCCACAGACCGTCTCTGGTCCACAGACCGTCTCTGGTCCACAGACCGTCTCTGGTCCACAGACCGTCTCTGGTCCACAGACAGGGCTGGACTGGCCATCGGGCGTACCGGGCAATGCCCGAAGGGCCGATGCCCATATTTGGGCCGGTCTGTCTGCCACATACAAAACACATGTTTGTGAAAAGTGTAAATCCATTGAGAACTGTTCGAGGGGGCGCGCGTGTCCGCGGGGCTCCTGCTGTATGTACTGGAACGGGATTCTACCACCTCAGCGGCCGCAGTGTTCCCGCATCCAGCGGCTCTGAGCTGGACGCAGGAACCGCTCACCGGGAACCGCTCACAACACAACACGGTGAGCGCGTAGCCGCAGCGTGACCATGTACCCAAGACCATAAACGCGCACAGGACCATGCATGTCTTTGCGTAATTTGTGCACCCAATAAATACACCGCTGCAGAAAACAGTCCGCGTCTCCCCTCTCCTCTAAATTAAAGCTCGGGTACCTAAATTTTCCATTGCATTAAAAGTTCATGTTTGAGCCCAAAAGTAAAATGTTGTGAACAGATTAAACGGATTTAGAACCAGCTAATGGCTGACAATATGCATTTCAGAAATGTTTACCAATTCTCATCCCTGTAACAAACAATATTGTCTGTGCCCACCTCCCTCACTCTGAGACATGTTTATTACTCTGTTTAATGTAGACTATTGTACTGTATTTTATTTTATTCCTGATCCTCTACAGTATATTCTTCCACATACTGTATAAACCAGGGGTCGGCAACCTTTAGTGTCCCTAAAGTGCCAGGCGGCGTGTGCATTATAGACTGTGTGTGCGCATGGATCCCAAAGATAAATAGAGAGAGTCGATAAGACTGGACTAAGAATGAGAATGAACATTTGCTTTCAGTCAATGAGGAAGGACTGCTTCATGTTTGCGATGTAATGAAAAGTTTTGTTGCAACAGGAGGAACAATGAAGCTTTAAACACTGTTCACTGAAAGATTCATTCATCATAAAGTCAGAGCACCTATTTTCAGACTTCAAATACCTTCGCAAAGACGGTGAAAGAAAAGGCCATTAAGGACATTCAGCTCCAGCAAACTTCAGCCTGTGATGGATATGAACAGACAGTGATGCAGGTGAACTCGGAGACAAAAAGCAGAGTTGTCACGTGGTGCGTCATTCTCTCCAGGACACGCTGCAATGAAAATACACATTTGATAATCATGAATGGTTTTTATGTGTTTAGCCTTTACTTTGTCATTTAGATATTAGTCTAATATATCTATGGTAATATCAGGGACGTGCGGTGAGGTTTGTGATTGGGGAGGCACTGACTTTAAAAGTCAGATTTACAATCATTATTCAAATAAAATAGCATTTAATCACCAATGCAATGACATCCACAAACTTTATATACTGTAAAGATAAGAGAACCAGCTTCTTTTAATAATCTCACAACAAATCTAGCTGCTGACTCTGCTCCGCATCAAACAACATCTTTAAGAAGCGCAGGTGCGAGAGACGCGAGGAGAGAGAGACGCGAGGAGAGAGGAGCAGAGAGAGACAGAGAGGAGCAGAGAGACGGAGACGCGAGGAGCAGAGAGAGAGAGAGAGAGAGAGAGGAGACGCGAGAGAGAGAGACGCGAGAGAGGAGCAGAGAGCAGAGAGGAGCAGAGAGACAGAGAGGAGCAGAGAGACGGAGACGCGAGAGAGAGAGACGCGAGGAGAGAGAGACGCGAGGAGAGAGGAGCAGAGAGAGACAGAGACGCGAGGAGAGAGAGACGCGAGGAGAGAGGAGCAGAGAGAGACAGAGAGCGAGAGAGAGAGAGACGCGAGAGAGAGAGAGCGAGAGAGAGACGCGAGGAGAGAGACGGAGACGCGAGGAGAGAGAGACGCGAGGAGAGAGGAGCAGAGAGAGACAGAGAGGAGAGAGAGACGGAGACGCGAGGAGAGAGAGACGCGAGGAGAGAGAGACGGAGACGCGAGGAGAGAGAGACGCGAGGAGAGAGAGACGCGAGGAGAGAGAGACGCGAGGAACATAAACAATAATTTAAACAAGTTGCAGAACTCTTGAGCAGTGTTTGAATCAGTGTTTTTCGGAAAAGCACTACTTTGCCGGTATCTGTCAATGTTCAACATAAAACACAGATTAACAAACTCCTCCCCCGCAGCCGGACTAACCTCGTAAGTCCAGTGGTGGTCTCCCAGTCTATATTAATTCTTTCTTTGTTTGAAAGTCCAATTGAGAAAAAAAATCTTCATTCAAATCATCCATTTTCCAGCAAAAGAAATAGCATTTTGGGCTGATTGTTTGTTAGCAACTCTGGTATGAACTTTATGCTCACTATCACCCCTAGCGGTGAGGCACAGATACCGCCTGCCTCACGCCAAGCTTTTTCCTTGTGTGTTCATCTACGATCAAAAGACTTAAACTAAATATAAATTGTACACACATACGTGCAATACACTACTAAACACTAAGAGGAGTTTAAAAAATGTTTTTAAAGCAGGATATTTGAAACAAACGGTGATATATCAACTGCACGAGCTGAGTGCACTCAGACACACACACACACACTGTGAGGGAGCGGTCTGAGGTGAGGCACGCAGGAGCGCTGCCTCACCTCGTCTCTTTGAATAGGAATAACGGGATTTCGGCGATTTTGACTTCAGAAATGATCAAAACTGATGGGAACCGTGCCGAATATACATTAAAAGCATAGGACAGTGGATATAAATTATATATTTAAACTAAAATAATTATTAGTTTCCAATAATGGCAGGTGAGGCTCTGCCTCCCCTGCCTCCCCTGACTGCACGTCCCTGGGTAATATAGCTAATGTAGCTAATACAGCTTCAGACCCTGTTACCTTCATATAAGCCTTATACAACGCTGTTATTTTTTTTTTTTTGTCAAATAGGGCTCCTTGAACCTTTTGAGTTGCCTGGGCCGCTAAAAAGGAAAAAATGCCCGGGCCGTTTTTTTGTCCCAGTCCAGCCCTGTCCACAGACCGTCTCTGGTCCACAGACCGTCTCTGGTCCACAGACCGTCTCTGGTCCACAGACCGTCTCTGGTCCACAGACCGTCTCTGGTCCACAGACCGTCACTGGTCCACAGACCGTCACTGGTCCACAGACCATCTCTGGTCCACAGACCGTCACTGGTCCACAGACCGTCTCTGGTCCACAGACCGTCTCTGGTCCACAGACCGTCTCTGGTCCACAGACCGTCACTGGTCCACAGACCGTCTCTGGTCCACAGACCGTCACTGGTCCACAGACCGTCACTGGTCCACAGACCGTCACTGGTCCACAGACCGTCACTGGTCCACAGACCGTCACTGGTCCACAGACCATCTCTGGTCCACAGACCGTCACTGGTCCACAGACCGTCTCTGGTCCACAGACCGTCACTGGTCCACAGACCGTCTCTGGTCCACAGACCGTCTCTGGTCCACAGACCGTCACTGGTCCACAGACCGTCACTGGTCTCTCTCCACGATGAGTCAACTTCACTGACTAGACAGGAATCGGGAAAAAAAACCCACTTGTACACACGTGCCATATAGTAAATGAAATAATCATGTATTCTACATTTTAACACTTAAGATATTAACATATTATATCATATTTTAATATTAATATTTTTTTCTAAAGAATACAGGAATAAATAGTGTAAATGCGTAAAAGTTTTTTTTTTACTTTCATGGCTTTTAACTCTAGTGTCTCCCATGCAGACTTTGGTTTCAGCTGTTCCCTGTCTTCCCCGGACGCTGTAGCAGTGACCCAATAGATCCATGCAGTGACCACTCTTTCTGGTCTCTCTCTCTCTCTCTGTCTCTCTCTGGTCTCTCTCTGGTCTCTAGAGAGAGAGAGCAGTCCCCTTTACAGTCACAGCAGCGGACACACACAGTTTCAAACTAAACATTTGAGACGTTTCATTGATTCTGCTGTCAGTGACGTCACATCACATTCAGGAGACAGATCAGCTCTATGACGTCAGCAGGTGTCACTGGGAGCTGACTCTGAGCTGAGTCTGGACAAGTATCAAAGTTTAATGACATAAAACAGAACACATCAGCAGAAATCAGACCTGCATCAGCATGGGTCCAGAGAAACAGGATGGAAAAGATCCCAGACATTCAAAAGTAAATGTAGAGATGCCATATTGGAAACACTGGTTGGTACCTAAGGGCCAACATACAGAATGTCCAGGGGGCCTTTAAAAGAAGCGTCAATCAAACGTACAGGTGCCTCTCTGGTCTTTCTGTGATCTCACCATTGATCTATTATAATACCTCACTCTCTCTGTCTCTGTGTGTGTGTGTGAGATGGGGACACACATACACTAACTTCATAGAATGTCCAAAAACCAAATCTGCAAATAATCAGAAGCAGAAGTATAAGAGCAGATACAGCCCTTCTCAGAACTAAAACAGTGTGACGTGTGTCTTCAGTCGAACCCTGATCTTCCATTTTACACTTTAAAACAAACACAGACATTATAATCCTAATCTAGTCTGGTTTTACCCTCAGATTTATTTCATGTAGGGAAATGATAAATGACCTGAGTTTAGGGGCGGATTAAACCAGGCTAATCCCAATCTCGGATCCTTCTTCGGAATCACAGCGCCCTCTGCTGCTGGGGTCAGGTCACTACAACTAGATCATTTCACCAAATCAGAAAATCAAACATCAGAATCTGGTTCAAAATAAGTTTATTTTACAATATAGACAAAGTGTATTTCATCAGTTATAACTCTCTGGACATCACACACAGTTTCACAGTGAGCCGCAGATGTTTCAAACTCAGGGAACTTTATCAGTAACAATACAATACACAGATTCATTATTATTAGAAAATATTTGTTTTGTGCAAATTTGAGTAGTAACATCACAGGGGTCATCAGGAAAGTTATGTCTCTGGTCTCTCTCTGGTCTCTCTGGTCTCTCTGGTCTCTCTCTGGTCTCTCTGGTCTCTCTGGTCTCTCTCTCTGGTCTCCCTCTGGTCTCTCTCTGGTCTCTCTCTGGTCTCTCTCTCTGGTCTCTCTCTCTGGTCTCTCTCTCTGTCTCTCTCTCTGGTCTCTCTCTCTGGTCTCTCTCTCTGGTCTCTCTCTCTGGTCTCTCTCTCTGGTCTCTCTCTCTGGTCTCTCTCTCTGGTCTCTCTCTCTGGTCTCTCTCTCTGGTCTCTCTCTGGTCTCTCTCTCTGGTCTCTCTCTGGTCTCTCTCTGGTCTCTCTCTGGTCTCTCTCTGGTCTCTCTCTCTGTCTCTCTCTCTGGTCTCTCTCTCTGGTCTCTCTCTCTGGTCTCTCTCTCTCTGGTCTCTCTCTGGTCTCTCTCTGTCTCTCTCTGGTCTCTCTCTGGTCTCTCTCTGGTCTCTCTCTCTGGTCTCTCTCTCTTCTCTGTCTCTCCTGGTCTCTCTCTCTGGTCTCTCTCTCTGGTCTCTCTCTCTGGTCTCTCTCTGGTCTCTCTCTCTCTCTGGTCTCTCTCTGGTCTCTCTCTGGTCTCTCTCTCTTGGTCTCTCTCTGGTCTCTCTCTGGCTCTCTCTGGTCTCTCTCTGGTCTCTCTCTGGTCTCTCTCTGGTCTCTCTCTGGTCTCTCTCTGGTCTCTCTCTGGTCTCTCTCTGGTCTCTCTCTGTCTCTCTCTCTCTCTTGGTCTCTCTCTGGTCCTCTCTCTGGTCTCTCTCTTGGTCTCTCTCTCTGGTCTCTCTCTGGTCTCTCTCTGGTCCTCTCTCTGGTCTCTCTCTGGTCTCTCTCTGGTCTCTCTCTGGTCTCTCTCTGGTCTCTCTCTCTGGTCTCTCTCTCTGGTCTCTCTCTCTCTGGTCTCTCTCTGGTCTCTCTCTGGTCTCTCTCTGGTCTCTCTCTCTGGTCTCTCTCTCTGGTCTCTCTCTGGTCTCTCTGGTCTCTCTCTCTGGTCTCTCTCTGGTCTCTCTCTGGTCTCTCTCTCTGTCTCTCTCTGGTCTCTCTCTCTGGTCTCTCTCTCTCTTGGTCTCTCTCTCTGGTCTCTCTCTCTGGTCTCTCTCTCTGGTCTCTCTCTCTCTGGTCTCTCTCTCTGGTCTCTCTCTCTGGTCTCTCTCTCTGGTCTCTCTCTCTGGTCTCTCTCTCTGGTCTCTCTCTTGGTCTCTCTCTTCTGGTCTCTCTCTGGTCTCTCTCTCTGGTCTCTCTCTGGTCTCTCTCTGGTCTCTCTCTCTCTCTCTCTGGTCTCTCTCTGGTCTCTCTCTGGTCTCTCTCTGGTCTCTCTGGTCTCTCTCTCTCTGGTCTCTCTCTGGTCTCTCTCTCTGGTCTCTCTCTCTGGTCTCTCTCTCTGGTCTCTCTCTCTGGTCTCTCTCTGGTCTCTCTCTGGTCTCTCTCTCTGGTCTCTCTCTCTGGTCTCTCTCTCTGGTCTCTCTCTCTGGTCTCTCTCTGGTCTCTCTCTGGTCTCTCTCTGGTCTCTCTCTGGTCTCTCTCTGGTCTCTCTCTGGTCTCTCTCTGGTCTCTCTCTCTGGTCTCTCTCTCTGGTCTCTCTCTCTGGTCTCTCTCTCTGGTCTCTCTCTCTGGTCTCTCTCTCTGGTCTCTCTCTCTGGTCTCTCTCTGGTCTCTCTCTCTGGTCTCTCTCTCTGGTCCCTCTCTCTGGTCTCTCTCTGGTCCCTCTCTCTGGTCTCTCTCTGGTCTCTCTCTGGTCTCTCTCTCTGGTCTCTCTCTCTGGTCTCTCTCTGGTCTCTCTCTGGTCTCTCTCTGGTCTCTCTCTCTGGTCCCTCTCTCTCTGGTCTCTCTCTGGTCCCTCTCTCTGGTCTCTCTCTGGTCTCTCTCTGGTCCCTCTCTCTGGTCTCTCTCTGGTCTCTCTCTCTGGTCTCTCTCTCTGGTCTCTCTCTGGTCCCTCTCTCTGGTCTCTCTCTGGTCTCTCTCTGGTCTCTCTCTGGTCTCCCTCTGGTCATCTGGCCAGTCTGTCGTGGAGGTAGCAGGCTGTGGTCTTGTCCTGGAGCAGACTCTGGGTCACATCGAACATCTTCAGCTCATAAGCCAGTCTGTATCTGCTGTACACGTCCTCACAGTGAGACAGGAGCTTCTTCACATGAGCCGAGGGGTGAGGAGGAGCAGAGTCCAGCCTGAGGACAGGGGGGAGAGGGGGAGAGGGGAGAGCGAGAGGGGCAAGGGGGAGACATAGGGAGCAGGGCAGGGGGGAACGTGGGGAGAGAGGTACACAAGTTTACTTTACTGACCATAATAAAGAAAAATGTGACAGACGCTAAACATACATGTATGTGAGAGACCAGAGAGAGAGACCGCAGAGGAGACCAGAAAGAGAGGGAGACCAGAGAGAGAGAGACCAGAGAGAGAGACCAAAGCGAGGGAGACCAGAGAGAGGGAGACCAGAGAGAGAGACCTAAGAGAGGGAGACCAGAGAGAGAGACCAGAGAGAGAGGGAGACCAGAGAGAGAGAGACCAGAGAGATGAAAGAGGGAGACCAGAGAGAGAGAGACCAGAGAGAGAGACCAGAGAGAGAGGGAGACCAGAGAGAGAGAGACCAGAGAGAGAGGGAGACCAGAGAGAGAGAGACCAGAAAGAGAGGGAGACCAGAGAGAGAGACCTAAGAGAGGGAGACCAGAGAGAGAGACCAGAGAGAGAGACCAGAGAGAGAGACCAGAGAGAGAGGGAGACCAGAGAGAGAGACCAGAGAGATGAAAGAGGGAGACCAGAGAGAGAGAGACCAGAGAGAGAGACCAGAGAGAGAGGGAGACCAGAGAGAGAGAGACCAGAGAGAGAGGGAGACCAGAGAGAGAGAGACCAGAGAGAGAGGGAGACCAGAGAGAGAGAGACCAGAAAGAGAGGGAGACCAGAGAGAGAGACCTAAGAGAGGGAGACCAGAGAGAGAGACCAGAGAGAGAGACCAGAGAGAGAGGGAGACCAGAGAGAGAGAGACCAGAGAGATGAAAGAGGGAGACCAGAGAGAGAGAGACCAGAAAGAGACGGAGACCAGAGAGAGAGAGACCAGAGAGAGAGATGAAAGAGAGGGAGACCAGCGAGCGAGTCTGGGGTCTGAGATGTGTGTGTGTCTTACTTCCTGATGATCTCCTCGAGCAGAGCAGTGTGTGTGTGTGTGTGTGTGTGTGTGTGTCTTACTTCCTGATGATCTCCTCGAGCAGAGCAGTGTGTGTGTGTGTGTGTGTGTGTGTGTCTTACTTCCTGATGATCTCCTCGAGCAGAGCAGTGTGTGTGTGTGTGTGTGTGTGTGTGTGTGTGTGTCTTACTTCCTGATGATCTCCTCGAGCAGAGCAGTGTGTGTGTGTGTGTGTGTGTGTGTGTGTCTTACTTCCTGATGATCTCCTCGAGCAGAGCAGTGTGTGTGTGTGTGTGTGTGTGTGTGTGTGTCTTACTTCCTGATGATCTCCTCGAGCAGAGCAGTGGACAGAGTGCGGTGACGTTTGAACTCGTCCAGGAAACTGAAGTCTCCTTTGAGGACCACTCTGTGGAACAGGACCTCGGCCCAGTCTGGACTGCAGCTGTAGGCCTCTGCCAGGACACACACCTGCAACACACACATGAGAGACACACACACACACACACACACACACACACTCTATACTGCTGGCATGTCCAAACTCAGCCCCGAGGGCCAATTGCGGCCCACTGTATCATTCCATGTAGCTCTAGCACAGCAGTGTCGTAGAACGTGGCTGGTGTATACCTGGTAGTGTGATAGAGAGAGTGTTGCTGGTGTGTATCAGGTAGAGGTGTGGTAGAGAGTTGCTGGTGTGTACCTGGTAGCAGTGTGGTAGAGAGCGTGTTGCTGGTGTGTACCTGGTAGCAGTGTGGTAGAGAGCGTGTTGCTGGTGTGTACCTGGTAGCAGTGTGGTAGAGAGAGTGTTGCTGGTGTGTACCTGGTAGCAGTGTGGTAGAGAGCGTGTTGCTGGTGTGTACCTGGTAGCAGTGTGGTAGAGAGCGTGTTGCTGGTGTGTACCTGGTAGCAGTGTGGTAGAGAGAGTGTTGCTGGTGTGTACCTGGTAGCAGTGTGGTAGAGGGTGTGTTGCTGGTGTGTACCTGGTAGCAGTGTGGTAGAGAGCGTGTTGCTGGTGTGTACCTGGTAGCAGTGTGGTAGAGAGAGTGTTGCTGGTGTGTACCTGGTAGCAGTGTGGTAGAGAGCGTGTTGCTGGTGTGTACCTGGTAGCAGTGTGGTAGAGAGCGTGTTGCTGGTGTGTACCTGGTAGCAGTGTGGTAGAGAGAGTGTTGCTGGTGTGTACCTGGTAGCAGTGTGGTAGAGAGCGTGTTGCTGGTGTGTACCTGGTAGCAGTGTGGTAGAGAGAGTGTTGCTGGTGTGTACCTGGTAGCAGTGTGGTAGAGAGCGTGTTGCTGGTGTGTACCTGGTAGCAGTGTGGTAGAGAGTGTGTTGCTGGTGTGTACCTGGTAGCAGTGTGGTAGAGAGAGTGTTGCTGGTGTGTACCTGGTAGCAGTGTGGTAGAGAGCGTGTTGCTGGTGTGTACCTGGTAGCAGTGTGGTAGAGAGAGAGTTGCTGGTGTGTACCTGGTAGCAGTGTGGTAGAGAGTGTGTTGCTGGTGTGTACCTGGTAGCAGTGTGGTAGAGAGACTGCTGCTGGTGTGTACCTGGTAGCAGTGTGGTAGAGAGTGTGTTGCTGGTGTGTACCTGGTAGCAGTGTGGTAGAGAGAGAGTTGCTGGTGTGTACCTGGTAGCAGTGTGGTAGAGAGTGTGTTGCTGGTGTGTACCTGGTAGCAGTGTGGTAGAGAGACTGCTGCTGGTGTGACCTCGGCTGGTCTCAGGTTTATGATCCTCAGATTCTGTCCTTGTTTCAGGAAGTGCAGCTGCAGAGACACCAGCTTCGCCATCTTCACACAACGAGACGCCTGCCGCACACACGAGTCCTGCCACACATGGTACACAGGTTACATATGGTACAGAGGTTACACATGGTACACAGGGTACCGAGGTTACACATGGTACAGGTGAAAGAATAACGTCATCACACGAGAGGCCTGATGCACACACGAGTCCTGACACACATGGTACACAGGTTACATATGGTACAGAGGTTACACATGGTACACAGGGTACCGAGGTTACACATGGTACAGGTGAAAGAATAACGTCATCACACGAGAGGCCTGATGCACACACGAGTCCTGACACACATGGTACACAGGTTACATATGGTACAGAGGTTACACATGGTACACAGGTTACAAGTGGTACACATGTTACACAGAATACACAGGTTACACATGGTACAGAAGTTAGTGAACTAAAATATTGTCTCCATCTCATAAAACAGTTTTTAAACCTTCACCTTAGTGTAGCTCTCTGCAGCGTCCTTCAGTAACCCCAGAACCTTCTCCAAAGAACTCTTCAAATCTGGAGAAACAACTGAGAACAAGAGAAGTAAGTGTTATTATGGATCTACAGCCTCAGTCCTGGGTCTACAGCCTCAGTCCTGGGTCTACAGCCTCAGTCCTGGGTCTACAGCCTCAGTCCTGGGTCTACAGCCTCAGGCCTGGGTCTACAGCCTCAGTCCTGGGTCTACAGCCTCAGTCCTGGGTCTACAGCCTCAGTCCTGGGTCTACAGCCTCAGTCCTGGGTCTACAGCCTCAGTCCTGGGTCTACAGCCTCAGTCCTGGGTCGTGTCTCACCCCAGTCCTGGCTCTCGATCATCTTGAGGAGGGTTCTCGCTGCAGTCTCGTGGTTCTCTCCGATCTCGCGCCTCATGCTGAAGCACAGAGCCACCATGTTGTGTTTCTCACTGTCCCCAGGGAGACAGCGCTTCAGGTAGTCCAGCAGAGCGGTCTTCAGACTTGAACTCTGACAGAGAGTAAGACAGAGGAGGAGTGAGGAGGGGGAGGTGGGGGAGGAGGGGGAGGCAGTAAAAGTGCATACAGTACATTAAACAACTTTGGATGTTGTTATTTTTGGTTCTATATCAATTGAAATTGAAAGATCTGAAGAAAATGAAAGAATGAAAGAAAGCAAATCAGTCCTCTGTCCTCTCTCCTCTGTCCTCTCTCCTCTGTCCTCTGCCCTCAGTCCTCTGCCCTCAGTCCTCTGCCCTCAGTCCTCTGCCCTCAGTCCTCAGTCCTCTCTCCTCTGTCCTCTGCCCTCAGTCCTCTGCCCTCAGTCCTCTGCCCTCAGTCCTCTGCCCTCAGTCCTCTGCCCTCAGTCCTCAGCCCTCAGTCCTCTGCCCTCAGTCCTCTGCCCTCAGTCCTCAGTCCTCTCTCCTCTGTCCTCTGCCCTCAGTCCTCTGCCCTCAGTCCTCTGCCCTCAGTCCTCAGTCCTCTCTCCTCTGTCCTCTCTCCTCAGTCCTCTCTCCTCAGTCCTCTCTCCTCAGTCCTCTGCCCTCTCTCCTCTCTCCTCTCTCCTCTCTCCTCACCTGTCCTCTGTCTATGTCCATCTTCTTCCTCAGTAACATCTCAAAGCGGTGATTCTGATGCAGAAGGTCAAAGATGTAGGTCATCTCATTGTAGCGACCAACTCCTGTCAGCAGACGCACCTGCAGCCAATCAGAGCAGTCAGACAGTTACTCATCTGTACTTTTATTCATATAGCGCATGAGGGAAAAGTAAACTAGTGCTAGTGTTTCTTCACAACACAGCTCACAGCAGTGATGGGAGAAATCAAATCTGTTCAGTATCGGCTCCTCTATGATGTCTACTTTTTGTGACTCTAGTCCAGGGGTGTCAAACCGGTTCCAGAAAGGGCCCATGTGGCTGCAGGATTTAGTTCCATCCTGAGCAGGAGCACATCAGACTCCACCCATTTTTGCAAATCTCCAAGTTAAAACTAGACTCACCTGAGGAAACGGGCTCAGGTGGGAACATAAACCTGCAGCCACACCGGCTCTTTGAGGACCAGTTTGACAGCCCTGCTCTAGTCTGTTGTATGTGAATAATGTAAGTAATGTAATAATAATAATAATAATACATTTTATTTATAATGCACTTTAGATTTAAATGAAATCTCAGAAGTGCTGGGACCTCACCATTCATGCGAGAGTCGTCTGTTCAGAGAATGAGGATATCTGTTATAAGCTCCTGTGTCCTGAATGTTAAAGGACAGTGTCTCCCAAAGAGGGTATTGCAGGAGGCCGCGAGAGGTCATCCAAAAAAAAAAATGTCTTATACAATTATTTTATGTTAAATTAATAATATTTTGGTTGTAATATTAAAATATTTGTGTTCATTATTTGACTTGAATAATCAAATTGTAATCATTTTTGTATTACAAAATGGGGTGCGTCATTTACATGTTTGTAGCAGAGGTTATTTCCCCCAAATAAAATAAAGAGAACAGCCGATTTTTAACATTGTCTTATTGGTTATTGTTTTGGGGGGCCGCGCAGACCCGTCAGATTTTTAAGGGGTCTGACATTGACATTGGGAATGGCTGTTGAAGGATAAAGTTTTTGCACTACCAAAATAAGCGTAACATTTGAGTTGAGTCCATGTTTGTAAAGTTTTTGAATAATATGAGGGCCATGAATTCCAATATATCACAGAATCAAAACACAATACTTAATGTATCGTGATATATCAAGAATCACAAGAATATTGAATAGTGGCCCATATAATTGAATCCTTACATTTAGCCCCTCCCCCCTGTGACAGTGCAGTGTTGGCAGGTGTGAAGTTTGTCCTCACCAGGAGACCGTACTTCTCGGCGGGGGCGAGGTGGGCGTGGCTCAGGTGTCTCGCCGCCTGCAGCACTCGCACGATGCCCTCCATGTTACAGGTGAAGCTGAAGCAGTCATGAGCCACAACCAGCAGCTCCACCACTGCACAGAGACCACATGGTTCTCTATGAGTATTCTCTGGTCTCCTCTCTCTGGTCTCCTCTCTCTGGTCTCCTCTCTCTGCTCTCCTCTCTCTGCTCTCCTCTCTCTGCTCTCCTCTCTCTGCTCTCCTCTCTCTGCTCTCCTCTCTCTGCTCTCCTCTCTCTGCTCTCCTCTCTCTGATCTCCTCTCTCTGATCTCCTCTCTCTGATCTCCTCTCTCCTCTCTCTGGTCTCCTCTCTCTGGTCTCCTCTCTCTGCTCTCCTCTCTCTGCTCTCCTCTCTCTGCTCTCCTCTCTCTGCTCTCCTCTCTCTGCTCTCCTCTCTCTGATCTCCTCTCTCTGATCTCCTCTCTCTGCTCTCCTCTCTCCTCTCTCTGCTCTCCTCTCTCTGCTCTCCTCTCTCTGCTCTCCTCTCTCTGCTCTCCTCTCTCTGCTCTCCTCTCTCTGCTCTCCTCTCTCTGCTCTCCCCTCTCTGCTCTCCTCTCTCTGCTCTCCCCTCTCTGCTCTCCCCTCTCTCTGGTCTCTTTCTCTCTGGTGTCTCTCTGGTCTCTCTTTCAGGTCTCTTTCTGGTGTCTCTCTCTCTCTGGTCTATTTCTGGTGTCTCTCTCTCTGGTCTCTCTCTCTCTGGTCTCTCTCGATCTCTCTAGTCTCTTCTCTCTGGTCTATTTCTGGTCTCTCTCTCTCTCTGGTCTAACACACACTTACTGCAGTTGAGGTCGGACAGTGGGACTGAGGTGATGCTCTCCAGCAGCTTGGTTCCCACCAGGTTCGGGTCTTCACAAAGTTTGAGAAGCTGCAGCAGAGAGTCCCGCCCCTCTGTCGGCCGGAAGACCTGCCGCTCTGAGGAACAAGGAGGGTTCACTTTCACATACACATCTACAGCCTCAGTCCTGGGTCTACAGCCTCAGTCCTGGGTCTACAGCCTCAGTCATGGGTCTACAGCCTCAGTCCTGGATCTACAGCCTCAGTCCTGGGTCTACAGCCTCAGTCCTGGATCTACAGCCTCAGTCCTGGGTCTACAGCCTCAGTCATGGGTCTACAGCCTCAGTCCTGGATCTACAGCCTCAGTCCTGGGTCTACAGCCTCAGTCCTGGGTCTACAGCCTCAGTCCTGGATCTACAGCCTCAGTCCTGGGTCTACAGCCTCAGTCCTGGATCTACAGCCTCAGTCCTGGATCTACAGCCTCAGTCCTGGATCTACAGCCTCAGTCATGGGTCTACAGCCCCAATCCTGGATCTACAGCCTCAGTCCTGGATCTACAGCCTCAGTCCTGGGTCTACAGCCTCAGTCCTGGATCTACAGCCTCAGTCCTGGATCTACAGCCTCAGTCCTGGATCTACAGCCTCAATCCTGGATCTACAGCCCCAGTCCTGGATCTACAGCCTCAGTCCTGGGTCTACAGCCTCAGTCCTGGGTCTACAGCCTCAGTCCTGGGTCTACAGCCTCAGTCCTGGATCTACAGCCTCAGTCCTGGGTCTACAGCCTCAGTCCTGGATCTACAGCCTCAGTCATGGGTCTAAAGCCTCTGAGACAGAGGCTGTAGATCTTGGACTCAGGATCTCCCTCCCTTGTTGAGTTGTTCTTTGTTGATTCAGGACTGTCCCAGTATATAGTATCCATCTCTCACCTGGTCCCAGCTCCTGTGTGGAGCTGAGCATAGAGCTGAGTAGAGCTGAGGACACCAGCTGGGCCACAGCCTCTGGTGTCAGGCCCTGAGCTCTGATGAAGGTGTGAGCTCGTCTGAAGCGTTCAGGCTGATCCAGGATCAGCAGCTGCTGCAGGACACTCACAGGGTCCTCACTGCAGACCTGAGCAAACGACACCTGCAGCTCCTGCACACAAGATAACACACAGACATGGTCCTCACTGCAGACCGGAGCAATCGACACCTGTGGCCTCCCTCGGGTCTCTCTCGGGTCTCTCTCGGGTCTCTCTCGGGTCTCTCTCGGGTCTCTCTCTGGTCTCTTACCTTTGACAGATGGTACAGGCTCAGCACCTGTTTACAGTAGCTGTTGCCATGGCGACTCTGATTAACGAGTTTCTGAAGTTCAGTTGAAACTTCGTCTTCAGGAAGAGGACAAACCACGAAGGACGAGAGACTACTGAAGGAAGCAGCTGGAGAGAGAGGGGGTGAGGGGGGACAGTAACATTCACACAAAGATATTAAACAGATTAAAAAGGAATCGTGGATCAAATAGTTCCAACAATCACTTTTACATGTTGTGTAGATACTGTTTCCTTAAAGGACAACTCACCCTCAAATCCTCTTTTTTTTCTGCTGATAAACAGTATAAATGAGTGTCCAATAGTGTTGTCTACATATCCTGGTCATAATGTTGTCACTTTGGTGCAAATTAGTTGAAAGATCAACTCTCTGCCTAAAACCGTCAGTGAGGCGCCATCTGCTGGCAACCTGTATTTACTACACTTGAATTTTTAATCTGGTGCCAACAACATGGCGCAGCAGTGAAGGCTGACGTCAGTTGCCCTACCGCCCTGAGGTATATAAGCGGCCCCGGTCTCGTTCAGAAGGAATAGCAGAGAGTATTTCCATCGATTGTCAGGTTTTCGATTAGTTTTAGCATTTAGTTAGACTTATATTAGTGTAGCTGTTTGTATTATAGATAATTGTGTAGTGTTTAGGGCTGCAACAACGAATCGCTAATATCGATAAAAATCAATTATTAAAAGCGTTGGCAACGAAGTTGGTTATCAATTCGTTGTGTCGCGCGATTAATACGTCACCGAGCGCGCGAGTTGGGCGCATTCTTGTAGTTCTATGGTTGAGCGGATGGACGCACATGCACCACAGAACTACACAACACTGCATGCACACTGCTTTTAAGTTACAGCCTTTTGAAATAAAAATGTCAAACGTTTTTGAGTATATGCACTCAACAACGTACAATTACCCTAAAAATGCCTTAATTACACAAACGTGTCTTGTCTGTAATTGCTCTTTGGGTTAAACATCAATACCTGTTTTTGTGCACTTTACTTTATACTGCATAGCATACATTTGTGTGTTTCTTTGTGTTGATCCAAGGCCACGTTTTTTAATAACGGGATGAAAACTAAAAATGCTTTTTTTATCCGATAATTGATTAATTGAAGAAATAATCGACAGATTAATCAATTATTAAAATAATCGTTAGTTGCAGCTCTAGTAGTGTTAATAGCGTTGTTGTTGAATATTGTAGTTTTTGTCATTAGTTGCTTTTATTGTTAGATTAGTGAGCTGAATTTAGCTTAGGACTGTTGTGTAGTCCTCCAGCTCCCAAGACCGCACAGAAGCTGTAGAGCTGGCATCGGTGTGATCACTCTCCATCTTAAACACGGCCAATGCTGATGTCGTCAATCACAGCCTAGACCCGCCCAACATTCACCCCCCGCCTGTCCCCTTTAATCCTCCAGGCTACGCCCATTTGGAGTGAGATTTGAAAAGAGAATGTGAGTGACGTACTGTAAGCCTTGAGGAGCGGGGGAGAGAACCTCTTTAACCTAGTTTCATTCACACTTCTAAAAACAAACTTACAGCTGGTCATCCCAGTCCTCTGCTCAGAGCTAGTCTCCCCGGTCTTTGGCTCCTGGTCCTTCTCCTGGTCTGTCTGCTGCTGGTCCTGCTCCTGGTTCCTCAGCTCCTGGTCCCTCTGGTCAGGACTGACCTCTCCTGAGGCCAGAGCTCTGCAGCGGAGCACCAGCCACACGTCTTTGTGGAACAGACTGAAGTATCTGCAGACTCTGCTGGCCTCATGGATACTGCCCTGATCCAGGATCTGCCCCAGCAGAGAGGACAGGACCTCCCCCTCTGCAGGGGTCAGGCCCAGGGGTGACGAGTCTGAGGGAGCGAGAGAGAGACAACAATGTGATTCCAACTGTACCAGCACTTTGTTTGGACATGTGTAGAGCATTTCATAAACTGCACGGCACTAGCACTTTAGTCTCTGTATGCACTTTGTTGCTAATTGTGTAAATACTGTAAACAAGGTGGTCTTTTACTGTCTGATGATAAAGTTGAACCTTGAACTTTGTCTGTGGTGGTGTTCCTACAGCAGTCTGGAATATGTGAACAGCATCATGTTACAGAACCTTTTCCCTGTGAGTCACTATTTGACGGTTAAGGATGAGTGAGTGCGGCTCGCTCTATCACTTTTCTGTTTGAAAAATCTGATTTAAAGATTTAAGAAAGGCCAAAAACACAAGCATGTAAGAGACCAGAGAGGAACCAGAGAGAGACTAGAGTGAAACCAGAGATAAAGAGAGAGACCAGAGAGAGAGAGACCAGAGTGATAACGCGTAACAAGAAATAGAGACCAGAAAAAGCTGATCCAAAGATGTGACAGAGGCCAAAAACTTTTGAAAACTTGTGCTAGAAGCAAACTGTTTTCAGAGTGAGTACATAGTTCCATGTTTTGTGTTTGAAAGTTAGGAAAGTTAGGTCCCTCAGCTTTAAGGCAATATTCACACCTGTGTTGGGGAAGCCGTCCAGACTCAGACACGCCGCTGTGTTCAGACTGGAGATGTTTGAGAAGGAGAACTCTTTCATCAGAGCTTCGTAAGAGTTCTGCTCAGATGAGACCGTCTGCGGGACACTGAACACACTCTCCCTCTCCATGTCAGCGATCAGCAGATAATGTTTCACTCTGCTCAACCACAGCTGCTTCTCCAGCTCCTCCAGACGAGAGACGGGAGCAGGACTGAGGCGAGAGAGCCAGTGAGAGGCCAGGGAGACCAGCAAGCACTTCTCCTGGGTGTCCAGCAGGAGGCGATGGTCCTGGGAGAGCGCCGAGAGGGCAGGGGTCAGAGTTTGGGACTGGGAGGAGAGCTCAGTGGGGTCAGGGCTCAGAGGTTGGGACTGGGAGAGGAAGAAGAGAGCTGCAGATTCGGGGTCGATGCTGTCGGTTTGGAGCTGGACGTGACTTTTCTTCCAGAAGTTCAGTCGAGTTTTCAACCGTTTCCATTGAGGCTTCTCCCTCAGAGAGTTCAGCTCCTGCTCCAGCTGCAGACACACAACAAGACATTTAAAACACACAAACAGAGACACACACACACACACACACACACACACACACACACACGCACACACACACACACACGGCCCTGGATCAAGCGGAAGAAACTGTGTGTGATATTCAATAGGTTCACATTTTAGAGGGACCAGAGAGAGAAACCAGTGAGAGAAACCAGAGAGAGAAACCAGAGAGAGAAACCAGAGAGAGAAACCAGAGAGAGAAACCAGAGAGAGAGAGATAGACCAAAGAGACCACAGAGACAGACCAGAGTGAAAGAGAGAGCAGAGCGAGACAAGAGTGAAACCAGAGAGAGACCAAAGAGAGAAACCAGGGAGGCCAGAGAGGGACCAGAGAGAGACCAGCGAGCGAGACCAGGGAGAGATTCCAAAGAGAGAGACCAAAGAGAAACCAAAGAGAGACCAGAGAGAGAGACCAGAGAGAAACCAGAGAGAGAGAGATAGACCAAAGAGACCACAGAGACCAGAGAGAAGGAGAGAGCAAATAGAAAGAGAGCAGAGCGAGACAAGAGTGAAACCAAAGAGAGACCAAGGAAAAAAGAGAGAGAGAGAGACCAGAGATATAGAGACCAGAGAGAGAGACAAGAGAGAGAGACCAGAGAGAGAGATAAGTCGGAAAAAACAGAGAGAGAAACCAGGGAGGCCAGATAGGGATCAGAGAGAGACCAGGGAGAGACTCCAAAGAGAGAGACCAGAGAGAATTACCAGAAGAGATAGACCAAAGAGACCAGAGAGACACCAAGGGGAGAGACCAGAGAGAGAGACCAGAGTATCCCTCCCCACCTGTCTGAGCAGCAGTCTGTGCAGTGGCAGTCCTGCGAGCTGGGACACCTCTCTGGCCTGGGAATAGCGCCCCCTGGACTGCAGCTGGTCCACGATGATCTGCAGCTCCTCCTGCTGGTCAGAGGGGGAAGTGCACTGCAGCAGCCGTGGAGACAGAGACACGTCAGAGCCCTGGAGGAGCCCACTCAGCTGGCTCAGCTTGCGGAAGTCTGGACCTGAGCAAACAGAGGAGACACAGAGAGGATACCTGCATTTAGATGAGCATATGGACAAGATGGAAGCAAAGATACTGGAACGACTACACAGACTTCTATTACTAGTGTATGATGACACGTGTCTTAATAACAGATAGAAAACCTAGCAGATTATATTGGAGTGATTGATAAAAACATGCTACTGGAGGTTGATCTGTCCGTGCGTTTAGGGGACACAAAGCAATGGCTTGTTCTTATGTTAATAGACTTCCCTGTTGTTAACATTTTAATTTCCTGTTGGCATCTCTCTCTCTGGTCTCTATCTCTAGTTGGTCTCTCAGGCCCCTCTCCCTCTGCTCACTCTCTGTGGACTCTCTGTGGACACACACACACACACACACACACACACACACACACACACACACACACACACACACACACACACACACACACACACACACACACACACACACACACACACACACACACACACACACACACACACACACACACACACACACACACACACCGCTGGACTTGAGGAGCTTGTTGACGTCGGCGAGCAGCTGCAGGAGTCTGTGGAGGTCGAACTGTGAGGAGCATCGCTGAAGTATCGTCAGCAGAAGAACTGAGGCCTGACTCTCCACCCACTGCAGAGGGAGGCCACCAGGGGGCGCTGGGACACTGCCTCTCAGCTGCAGGACAGAGGACCACAGCACTATTCAATTCAATGTATTTGTGTATCATCCTAAATCACAACGGTAACTATCATGGGGTATTTAACAAAGCTGTTGATTTGCCAACACAGATCTCAGAGCAGAGAGAGCAGAGTGAGAGAGAGAGAGACCAGAGAGAGACCAAAGAGAGAGAGAGAGAGAGAGAGAGAGAGAGAGAGACCAGAGAGTGACCAGAGAGAGAGAGAGAGAGAGACCAGAGACAGAGCAAATGAGAGTGAAAGAGAGAGAGAGGGTGAGTGAGTGAGACAGTGAGACAGTGAGAGAGACCAAATAGACCAGGGGGACACCTAAGTGAGGACCAGAAAGAGAGAGAGAGAAACCACAGATAAACCAGAGAGAGAAAGACAAGAGAGAGAATATATTGAAAAAGAAATATATTAATACTATACTGAAACACATTGAATAATATATATTTGTTTTTTAGATGAATGTTTTTTGGACATGCACCATTTCTTGAATCCTGACAGACAACTCTTGAGAAAAAGCATTGATGAGAAACTGAACCATGAAGAACAGGACACACACATTGATGCAGAGATTTAAAACTGAACATGAAATCTCACAGTGATGAGCGTCTTCTGGAAGTCCAGCAGTTTGGCTTTGGCCTCAGAGAAGTCTCTGTAGTCACAACACAACTGGAACATCCTCAGCACCAGCACCAGGGGGCAGTCCTGCGCAGCAACAGCACAGACCGTTACATTACAAATTCACTTCTATAGATCTGTGCTGGGACTAAACACAGAGAGAGACCAGAGAGGGACCAGAGAGAGAGAGCGACAAGAGAGAGACCAGAGAGGGACCAGAGAGGGAGAGACAAACAGAGAGAGACCAGGGAGGGACCAGAGAGAGAGAGAGAGACCAGAGAGGAACCAGAGAGAGAGACCAGAGAGAGACCAGAGAGAGAGAGAGAGAGACCAGAGAGGAACCAGAGAGAGAGACCAGAGAGAGACCAGAGAGAGACCAGAGAGAGAGACCAGAGAGAGACCAGAGAGAGACCAGAGAGAGAGAGAGAGACCAGAGAGAGAGAGCAAAGAGAGAGAGCAAAGAGAGAGAGAGACCAGAGAGGGACGAGACAGAGAGACCAGAGAGAGAGAGAGAGAGAGAGAGAGAGAGCGAGAGAGAACAGACAGGGGTTACATAATTGATTCACTTCTATAGATCTGAACTGGGACTATAAACAGAAAGAGACCAGAGAAAAACCAGGCAGGGACCAGAAAAATGGAGCACTTCACTTTATCATGATAGATAATACATCTATCTCCATCTGATCAGAAAACATGTTGTACATTTGTAGGAAAGAGCCGTGTGAGTCAATGTTTGACTCTTATAGATGATTGGCTGAGTGAAGGTGGTCCTCTCTTTACTGCCTGAAAAAGCTCAGACAAGAGAGGGACCAGAGCGAGAGACCGGATAAAGCTGATCGAAAGCTTTAAACCCCCGCATGTCTGAGGTTTTTCATTTTTATTTTATTTTATTTAACCTTTATTTAACCAGGAAACCATTGAGATTAAGAAGCTCTTTTTCAAAGGACTCCTGGAAAGTAAAGTATAAAGCTGCTTACTCTCTGGAACAGCTGGAACCCCCGCAGCAGAGGAGAGACCTGACCCCGCCCCAGAAGGGTCCTCCATATGATTGACAGGTCGTGCAGTGTCCAGTGGTGATGCTGGGGGGCCACGTCGAGGTGAGAGGTGGCTTCACTCACAGTGGACTGATCCACAGAAGAAAGAATCCACACACACAGACAGGACAGACGCTCTGCAGCCTGAGACCAGAGGAACACATTAAACATGTTAGAGACCCGAGAGGGACCCGAGAGAGGCCCGAGAGAGACCGGAGAGAGACCGGAGAGAGACCATAAAGAGACCCGAGAGACCAGAAAGAGGCCGGAGAGAGGCGGGAGAGAGAGACCCGAGAGAGACCGGAGAGACCGGAGAGAGACCGGAGAGAGACCGGTGAGAGACCGGAGAGAGACACCGGAGAGAGACCCGAGAGACCAGAGAGAGACCGGAGAGAGACCGGAGAGAGACCGGAGAGAGACACCAGAGAGAGACCCGAGAGACCAGAGAGAGACCCGAGAGAGACCCGAGAGACACCCGAGAGAGACCCGAGAGACCAGAGAGAGACCGGAGAGAGACCCGAGAGAGACCCGAGAGACCAGAGAGAGACCGGAGAGAGATGAGAGAGAGAGACTAGTGAGAGACCAGAGAGAGACCCGAGAGACCAGAGAGAGACCGGAGAGATACCGGAGAGAGATGAGAGAGAGATCAGTGAGAGCGGCCAGAGACAGCGGCCAGAGAGAGACCAGAGAGAGACCAGAGAGAGACCAGAGAGAGACCAGAGAGAGATCAGAGACAGACCAGAGAGAGATCAGAGACAGACCAGAGAGAGACCAGAGAGAGACCAGAGAGAGATCAGAGACAGACCAGAGAGAGAGGCGTCCTGGATCTACAGCCTCAGTCATGGATCTACAGTCCGTCCGTCTGTGGACCTTCCTGAGGTTTCTCATTTTCTTCCACAGGGTTATAGAGTCGTTCCTCTCTGACACAGAAGGGTCTAAGAGCCGTGGTGAGGATCCAGGACATTTCTTCACATTTCTGAACAGTGGTCATCGGCCCATCGGTTTGTCATCACTGCGTTTCCTGAGTTTGAACGGTTTGATTCTGTGATCTGTTTGCGAAACAGCTTTGAAAAGTCCTCTGAGATAACTACTGTTGTGAATCAGAGCAATAATTTGAATTGAATTGAATAAAACACATGGTTATGTTGAGTTTCCTGTGGGCCTCAGTGTTGACAGCCTCCCACTCTGTAATCACCAAAACCACAAACTAAAAACTTTTCTCCAGAACACAACAGCTCAGAAAAACTCATTACCAATTCATTCTATTCTCTTTTTATACAAAGAATCCTCTCTCTTCCCACTTTCTCTGCACTCACAAAACCTGTTCCATAATTCTATTGATTTCTGTGTCTTCAAGTTTTCTCTAAAGAATAATTATGGCTTGACAACTTTCATTCGTTATTTGCCAATTCCAGTGACATTTGTATTCAAACTCTTATGTTTGAGAGAAGCGTGTGTGAAGAGCTTTGTGAATTTGTCTGACAAAAGCCAAACGGTTTAAAAGTTATCTCGAGGGGGTCATAAAAGCGGCAATTTTGTGAAAAACAATTAGGATTTATTTCTATTCTTTTGAACACTTGCTACTTTTGTGCAACTGTTGGGAAGAAACAGTTGAAAGACATTCAACTATTCAATAAAAAATGAATAAATTAAAATAAATTAAAGCCGCAAGCGGCCTCGCCACTCTTGCGACCGCCTCCTGGGCGCCAGTCCCACAAGCGTCACGCCGACGAATATGCAGCCCGATCTGACCAGGATTACGAATATAAAAGCTCATTAATATGATAAAGTGCGCCCCTAGTGGTCACCTCCGGGACATGCACCCTCTATGTAGAGTAGTATTTTGCTCGTACAGATGTAAAGATTTGATTTTGCAACTTTGGTGAAGATCGGAAAAGTTTAGGTCAGAAGCCTTCCATAGGTGGCGCTGTAGAGTCATATTAGGTGTGTGTTTTCACACCATTACTCTCAGGCCATTACCAACTGTTAGTGATGTGAGTTTTAGCTCTGTAGGTCTGAGCCTGTGGTCAGGAGAGCATCAAACATGGAGAAATTCCACACCACCTCACATGAAAACGATGAGGAAATCCTAACTTTTTCTGGATGGCTGTATAACTTCAATCCGTCCAGATGGAGAAATTATGTGGTGGAAGTCTCTGCGATGAAAAACCAGGGACTAGATGAAATTCAAAAAGACAACACCTTGTACCCTATTGCTTTCCGACAGAGACCTCATATTGGGAAATGTATTTTAGTGTCATTGCGTTAATCTAATAATAACCTAATAATACTGATGTGAGTCTCAGCTTTGTAAGTCTGAGCCTATGGCAAAGAGAGCAGGCTATAGTTCACCCCTAGTGGTCATCAGTGGGACATGCACCCTCTGCGTGGTGTAACATTTTTGCTTGTATGGATGTAAAGATTTGACCCGGTGACTTTGATGCAGTTTAATGTTTGGTTCAAAGCCTCCCATAGGTGGCGGTCTAGAGGTAATATTAGTGTGTATTTTCACTTAATACAGTTCTACAGAAAGTGATGAATGGAGGAAAAACTACCAAGAGGTGGATTAATTAAACACAACAAACCATTTATTCCCAATAAATAAATACATTTACTTTGCAACACAAAAGTTATTATGGGTAGACCAGGACTCAAACGATACATTTTCTGCTTCGGAGTCCGTCATAGACCGACTGTGCCACACAGCTGTTGTGAGATGTATCATCCATTGTATTATTAGTACTAACTTGAAGCCTTGATATATGAGGATTTACTAAAGTGAAACGTTTTTAATTGTATTTCATATGAAGTTGTTTCTCTATACTTAGTACAGGACTGCTCCACATCACGCACACACACGTACGCACACACACGTACGCACACAGAGGCAGACGGGGACAGCCAATACAGTCTATGGTACAGCCGCGGATCACAAAGCACCTGTCAAAGCAATGCACTCTCCGAACTATATGAAGCACTATATGAACCGTCACGTGGTGCGGCCGCTACGCGAGGCTTCGAACGTCACCAACACACGCCTCAAACCACGCTACAAAAAATACGCCCCTTTTTTACTCGGTACACGCTTCGAAAGCCCGGCACGCTCAGCACATCACTAGCATGAACGGAGAAGGAGGACGCGGAGTAGGAGCAGCCCTTAATCAATGGTAAACTAAAGATCCATGTGAAAAAAATTACTTACTTACTCAGGTCAAATATTTATATGCGACTGAAATGCGATTAATTGAGATTATTAATTACAAAGCCTCTAATTAATTAGATTTTTTTTTTATCGCGTCCCGGCCCTAGTAATAATGTAAACTGAGCCTAAAACAGTCTTCATCAAACTAACCCAAAAACAGTAGAGCCTAACCCTGGGAATAACCCCAGTTAGCAAAGTCCTAGTCCAGGGCTTTAACCACTACACAACACTAGAGCTCACCATGTCAATTTATAGGGTCCTAGGTTTTCAATGTAGCACAAAATTAACAAATGAAATGTAAAATGTTGCTGACTGGCAGTGTCAAAACTGTCTGACATTTAACACAGACAAAACCGTTTCAATGTATATTACACTAAGTGTGTATAAGCGTACACTGTCCCTGTTCAAATAAAGTACATACAATACCATACAATACAATCAGTAGGAAGACTCAGCGGCCTGTTTCACTATCATTTGTATTAAGGCAAAAGGTGCCCCCCTGGTGGTCACCTGGAAAACGGTGAAGATTTTCTAACTTTTATGCGATGATTGCATAACTTCAATCCGTCCAGATGGAGAAATGACATGGTAGAAGTCTGTGCGATGAAAATCCAGGGACTAGTACGAAGCCAAAAATGCGACACCTTAAACTGCCTGTAGGTGGCGCTGTTGCACTCACAGTTGTGTGTTGTATATCGTTGTGTTCAGGGTCATACGCTGTATTACTGATCTCATTTTTAGCCTCATCGGACAAACATTTTGCCCTAAAAAAGCTCATTTATTCACTTTCCGGCGCCCCCGGTGGTCAGGTGTGGGACGTACAACTTTTGCGTAATGTAATGTTTTGCTCGTCTCGGTCCAGAGAATACACTCAGCGATTTTCGGGCCGATCCGAGCACTAGTGCCCTATTACTTTCCGACAGGTGGCGCTAAAGAGCTCAAATTGGGCGAATGATTTTAGTGTCATTGCGTTCAGGCCATAACCTAATATTACTGATGTGAGTCTCAGCTCTGTAGGTCTGAGCCTGTGGCCCTCAGGGCTCAGCGAAAATGGCCAAAACGAAGGCCTTATTCGCCATGGCGAGGGACGAAAACGGTGAAGATTTTCTAACTTTTTTTTGATAATTATATAACTTCAATCCGTCCAGATTGGGAAATGACGTGGTAGAACTCTGTGTGATGAAAAACCAGGGACTAGTTCGAATTTGTAAATGAAAAGTCAAATTAGTGGCGAAACTTTGGCCCATCATGGCCGACTTCCTGTTGGTCCCAGACATGTGCTTAGACCGGCTTTTATGCTCGTCTCATAGAGATCTATCACTCAGCCGAATTTTGTGTACCTACTCCAAAATATGCAATCCTGCCTCCAATAGAAATGGCAAATTTTGAATTTTCAAGGGGGCGCTATTGATTCGCCTTTTGTCGGACAATCTCGAAACGTCCGTTTTATCAAATGTTTCGCCGAACCGGTCGTTTTAGACCCCCCATGTGCAGACTTTCGTGCATGTCTTCAGGGTCAAAAATCGAATTGTTTCGGCGGAAAAAGAATAATAATATGAAACCGGTGAATAACAATAGGCCTCCCCAATACAAAGTATTGGCTCGGCCTAATTATACGTATTTGTGTCTCGCCATAAATCACAACAGCAGTCGTCTCAGAGGACTTTACAAAGTTGTGGATTCACCAACAACAGATCAGAGAATCAAACAGTTCTCACACAGGAAATGCAATAATAACAAACACAAAGAAGCCATTGGTCCAAAGGCAGCGGGATGTAGATCCAAGACAAGACAGACAAGAGAGAGATCATAGAGACCAGAGGGAGACCAGAGAGACCAGAGAGAGACCAGAGAGAGAGACCAGAGGGAGACCAGAGAGAGACCAGAAAGAGAGACCAGAGAGAGACCAGAGAGACCAGAGAGAGAGACCAGAGAGAGACCAGAAAGAGAGACCAGAGGGAGACCAGAGAGACCAGAGAGAGACCAGAGAGAGAGACCAGAGGGAGACCAGAGAGAGACCAGAAAGAGAGACCAGAGGGAGACCAGAGAGAGAGACCAGAGGGAGACCAGAGAGAGACCAGAGAGAGAGACCAGAGGGAGAACAGAGAGAGACCAGAGAGAGACCAGAGAGAGAGACCGGAGGGAGACCAGAGAGAGAGACCAGAGAGAGACCAGAGAGAGAGACCAGAGAGAGACCAGAGAGAGAGACCAGACAGAGACCACATTCTCCACAAAACATTATTTTGTGAAAGCTGTTCCCCATCTCAGAGCCATTTTTGTGACACTGAGGTCTATGGACAAGTATTGAGGCTGTGTATTGAGGCTGCAGTACCACCTGTGGCCTCTAGTGCATGTGTATTTAGGCTGTAGTACCGCGGTTGACCTCCACATCAGAGACATATCCATTGTTAGAGAACAGAGCATTTAGGCAGAGGTGGAGCTGAAAATAACTCCAGCCATAATTTAATATTACATTTTTTCCCACAGCACGAGTCCTCAAAGTGAAACTAGCTTTGTTTCCAGTGTGTAGTTTACCTGATCGCAGGCAGCCAGGATAGCAAGAGTGGGGCAGTGCTGCACCAGCGCCTCCTGCAGGAGAAACCGACAAGTGCAGGCCTCATTCTGACTCTGCAGCAAAACCTGGAACAACTCCTTTGGGCGCTCCGAACTGAGGGACCAGAGAGAGAGAGAGCAGAGAGAGAGAGACCAGAGAGAGAGAGACCAGAGAGAGAGAGCAGAGAGAGAGAGCAAAGGGAGAGACCAGAGAGAGAGACCAGAGAGAGACACCAAAGGGGGAAACCAGAGCGAGAGACCAGAGCAAGAGACCAGAGAGAGACCAGAGAGAGATCAGAGAGAGATCAGAGAGAGACCAGAGAGAGACCAGAGAGAGACCAGAGAGAACAGAGATAGAGAAAGACCAAAGAGAGAGAGCAGTGAGAGAGCAAAGAGAGAGGGATTATTTATATATAGTATAATTGTAAGTACAGGATACTATGTTATGACCTCACCTCAGAGTCCCCTGGTCCTCGGGGGTCGGCTCTTGCGCCTGTTCCTCGCCCGCTCTGGCTCCAGGACTGAGCAGCTGCAGATCCTGAAAGGCCAGCCTCAGGTGAGAGGCAAGAGTGGGACTGAACTCAGAGACCAGCGAGCGCACCTGGAACCACAAACCAAACTGTTATGGTACGTGTGTGATACAATGTGATAAATATACAATTTAATGTTGGGGATCACCATAACTCTACTGTCTGAGTCCTGGATCTACAGCCTCCGTCCTGAATCTGTCTATCTCTGTGGTCCCTCTCTCTCTGCTCTCTCCCTCTCTGCTCTCTTCCTCTTTGCTCTCTTTCTCTCTCCCTCTCAGTGGTCCCTCCCTCTCTGCTCTCTCCAGCTCTGCTCTCTCCCCCTCTGGTCCCCCTCTCTGGTCCCTCTCTCTGGTCCCTCTCTCTGGTCCCCCTCTCTGGTCCCCCTCTCTGGTCCCCCTCTCTGGTCCCCCTCTCTGGTCCCCCTCTCTGGTACCCCTCTCTGGTACCCCTCTCTCGTCCCCCTCTCTCGTCCCCCTCTCTCGTCCCCCTCTCTCGTCCCCCTCTCTGGTCCCTCTCTCTCGTCCCCCTCTCTGGTCCCCCTCTCTGGTCCCCCTCTTTGGTCCCCCTCTCTGGTCCCTCTCTCTCTGGTCCTTCTCTCTGGTCCCTCTCTCTGGTCCCTCTCTCTAGTCCCTCTCTCTGGTCCCTCTCTGGTCCCTCTCTCTGGTCCCTCTCTCTGGTCCCTCTCTCTGGTCCCCCTCTCTGGTCCCTCTCTCTGGTCCCTCTCTCTGGTCCCTCTCTCTAGTCCCTCTCTCTGGTCCCTCTCTGGTCCCCCTCTCTGGTCCCTCTCTCTGGTCCCTCTCTCTGGTCCCCCTCTCTGGTCCCTCTCTCTGGTCCCTCTCTCTGGTCCCCCTCTCTGGTCCCTCTCTCTGGTCCCTCTCTCTGGTCCCCCTCTCTGGTCCCCCTCTCTGGTCCCCCTCTCTGGTCCCTCTCTCTGGTCCCTCTCTCTGGTCCCTCTCTCTGGTTCCCCTCTCTGGTCCCTCTCTCTGGTCCCTCTCTCTGGTCCCCCTCTCTGGTCCCCCTCTCTGGTACCCCTCTCTCGTCCCCCTCTCTCGTCCCCCTCTCTCGTCCCCCTCTCTGGTCCCCCTCTCTGGTCCCCCTCTCTGGTCCCCCTCTCTGGTCCCTCTCTCTCTGGTCCTTCTCTCTGGTTCCTCTCTCTGGTCCCTCTCTCTAGTCCCTCTCTCTGGTCCCTCTCTGGTCCCCCTCTCTGGTCCCTCTCTCTGGTCCCTCTCTCTGGTCCCCCTCTCTGGTTCCTCTCTCTGGTCCCTCTCTCTGGTCCCCCTCTCTGGTCCCTCTCTCTGGTCCCTCTCTCTGGTCCCTCTCTCTGGTCCCCCTCTCTGGTCCCCCTCTCTGGTCCCTCTCTCTGGTCCCTCTCTCTGGTTCCTCTCTCTGGTCCCCCTCTCTGGTCCCTCTCTCTGGTCCCTCTCTCTGGATTCCCCTCTCTGGTCCCTCTCTCTGGTCCCTCTCTCTGGTCCCCCTCTCTGGTCCCCCTCTCTGGTCCCTCTCTCTGGTCCCTCTCTCTGGATTCCCCTCTCTGGTCCCTCTCTCTGGTCCCTCTCTCTGGTCCCCCTCTCTGGTTCCCCTCTCTGGTCCCTCTCTCTGGTCCCCCTCTCTGGTTCCCCTCTCTGGTCCCTCTCTCTGGTCCCTCTCTCTGGTCCCCCTCTCTGGTCCCTCTCTCTCAGATCTCTCCCCCTCTCTCTGATCTATTGTTGATGAATCCACAACTTTGTGAAGTCCTCCAAAGACCACAGCTGCTGGGATTTAGGGTGAAACACAAATTGATATATTTAGTTCTTGCTCAGATCAGTGGTTCTGAAACTACCTCATAAATGTTGAACAGAGTCAATCACAGAAATGTAAAGATCCAATAGAATCCACTAGAACAGTAAATAATGAATGTATTATAAGTCCATCTTCAAAGCCTCTGGGACACAGACGGTTTGTGACAGCGAGAGGCAGATGGAACAGTAATATCAGGACCTCCAGCTCTGACCTGCACCCCTCTGACCTGAACCCCCCAAGCCCAGCGATCCAAGATGGCGTCCTATTCAAATCAGTGGCTTGCGCTTCGTCTGCGCAATGGACGAGCTCCCATGATGCTTTGCGCCAAATATGCGTATATGTGGGGCTCTCATGCACGTGCACAGAGGGGCTCGGCTGCGCTGTGACCAATCAGAGCTGCTGATCAGAGCGGAGCTAAAGCGGGAGACAAACGAGCAGAGTTCGTGGCACTAAAGTGTGGATTTAAAGAAAACCGAAGGATTTAGGAGGGAAAAAAGTTCATGATGACAAGGGACAATAAAATCACCACAAAATACGACCTTTGTGAAAGCTCTGTCAACTGAGGTCGAGCTGTTTTAGTTTACATTGAGTTCTATGGGGAACATTTCAGGGTAGAACCATGTGAACGTAGTCTTGTTCAGTCTGCTGTACCGCGAGAATCCCCTGAGCACATGAGTTCTGCTCCAAGCTAGTAATGTGCACCCCTCCGTCCTGAACCCCTCCGTCCTGAACCCCTCTGACCTGAACCCCTCTGACCTGAACCCCTCTGACCTGAACCCCTCCGACCTGAACCCCTCTGACCTGAACCCCTCCGTCCTGAACCCCTCCGACCTGAACCCCTCTGACCTGAACCCCTCTGACCTGAACCCCTCTGACCTGAACCCCTCTGACCTGAACCCCTCCGACCTGAACCCCTCTGACCTGAACCCCTCTGACCTGAACCCCTCTGACCTGAACCCCTCTGACCTGAACCCCTCTGACCTGAACCCCTCTGACCTGTTGTGGAGGGAAGCTGTGCATCTGGATGAACAGCAGGAAGTGGATGAAGTGTCCGTCCTGAGCGCAGTGAGAGAGGAACACTGAGCTGAGGCTGAGACCGTGGCTCTGACAGAACTGGACCGCCAAGGACCACTCCAGCGCCGCCTCGTACGAGCATCTGAGAGAGGGAGAGAGAGGGTTGGAGGGAAGAATGTCACATGTGCATATGTGTGTGTCCATGTACAGGTGAAACTCATTCTCTCAAATGTCTATTTACTTACAAACAAACTTACAATGTGAAACTATATGACTGCTTCCTTCAGTTCTATGGATTTGTACAGATGTGATTTAGTTTGAACACAGGAAAGGCAATTATAAGAAATGCAAGAGAGAGACCAAAGAGAGAGAGGACAGAGAGAGCAGAGAGAGAAAGAGAGACAAGAGAGACAGATATAGACCAGAGAGAGAGAGAGAGAGAGGGAGAGAGAGGGAGAGACCAGGGAGAGAAAAAAAGAGAGAGACAGAGGGAAAGAGACCAAAGGGAGACAAGAGAAATAGAAAGACAGGGAGAGAGACCAGAGAGAGAGAGAGGGAGAGACTAGAGAGAGAAAAAAAGAGAGACAGAGGGAGAGACCAGAGGGAGACGAGATAAATAGAGAGACAGGGAGAGAGACCAGAGAGAGAGAGAGGGAGAGACCAGAGAGAGAAATAAAGAGAGAGACAGAGGGAGAGAGACCAGAGGGAGACAAGAGAAATAGAGAGACAGAGAGAAAGACCAAGGAGAGAGAGACCAGAGAGAGAGAGAGGGAGACCAGAGAGAGACAGAGAGACCAGAGAGTAGCAAGAGAGAGACCAGAAAGAGTACATGTCAGCGAAAACTTGTGAAAGAAAAAAAACGTTTTGAGAGAGAGAGAGAGAGAGTAGCGGGATGGATTTTATCACATTAATCTGAGTTGAAAGTTAGATACCCCAGCTTTAATAACATTTTAGTATTCAAACAAATAATATTGTGCTTCTTTTTCACAGTAAAAAAACATGATATTTATCTAGAACGGCTTGAAAAGTGGATGACATATCAAAACAAAAAGGCCGGCAGATTCATTGAAATGTTCAGCCTGACAGGAAACTTTAATTAATGTGTTGTTGCTGCTGCTGAGCCTCAGACTTGAATCTGATTTGAATCAAAGAAAAAGAAAATAATGGTTTTTGAATAACAAGGGTAAGAGAAAACGTACTATTCCTCAAGCAGGGAAACCAGGGTTACTCACAGATGCATGGAGAGAGACCAGAGAGACCAGAGGGAGACACCAGAGAGACCAGAGAGAGAGACCCGAGAGAGCAGAGAGAGACACCCGAGAGAGCAGAGAGAGAGACCAGAGAGAGACCAGAGAGAAGCTAGAGAGAGAGACCAGAGAGAGACACCGAGAGACCAGAGAGAAGCTAGAGAGAGACCAGAGAGAGACACCGAGAGACCAGAGAGAGACCAGAGAGAAGCTAGAGAGAGAGACCAGAGAGAAGCTAGAAAAAGAGACCAGAGAGAAAAACCATAGAAAAACCAGAGAGAAACCAAAGAAAGACGATAGAGAGACCAGAGAGAGAGACCAGAGAGACCAGAGAGAGACACCCGAGAGAGCAGAGAGAGAGACCAGAGAGAGACCAGAGAGAAGCTAGAGAGAGAGACCAGAGAGAGACCAGAGAGAAGCTAGAGAGAGAGACCAGAGAGAGACACCCGAGAGAGCAGAGAGAGAGACCAGAGAGAGACCAGAGAGAAGCTAGAGAGAGAGACCAGAGAGAGACCAGAGAGAAGCTAGAGAGAGAGACCAGAGAGAGACACCGAGAGACCAGAGAGAGACCAGAGAGAAGCTAGAGAAAGAGACCAGAGAGAAGCTAGAGAGAGAGACCAGAGAGAAGCTAGAGAGAGAGACCAGAGAGAGACACAGAGAGACCAGAGAGAAGCTAGAAAAAGAGACCAGAGAGAAAAACCAGAGAAAAACCAGAGAGAAACCAAAGAGAGGCCAAAGAAAGACCATAGAGAGAGACCAGAAAGAGAAACAAGAAAGGGACACCAGAGAGACCAGTGAGAGAAACCAGAGAGAGAGACCAGAGAGAAGCTAGAGACTAGAGAGAGAGACCATAGAAAGATGAGAGAGAAACCAGACAGATAGACCAGAGAGAGGAAGAGAGACTACAAAAAGGAGAGGCTACAAACACTGTAATGTAAGTGAACTCAAAACTGTTTTGAGAGAGAGGAGCGAGTTAGATGAATTCGATATATCTGATTTGAAAGTTAGGTACCTCAGCTTTAATAGCAAGAATAAATAGCAACAGGGAAACTCACTGATGCATGGATCAATCCAAATGCAACTCAGTCAGTTCATAATAATAATAATGATAGTATCTGGACATCTCTTCTGTACCACATACATGTATCACAGGTACAGCTCACCTCCCAACTCCTCTCTGCTCCAGACTGTCACACACTGCAGCCTCCAGGAGACCAATCAGCTCCTCCGCTGCTCCAGGCTCCGCCTCCACCAGCCTCAGACCTGTCGACACTGACGGACAAGACAAAGTACAATATTTCATTCATTAGTTTGATTTTTGTCTTATTGTTTAAAACTGTCCATAAGGGATAAGAGATCTTTCTACATTGTATGAGTTTGGTTTGGCCGTTTGACCCAGGACTGAGGCTGTAGATCCAGGACTGAGGCTGTAGATCCAGAACTGAGGCTGTAGATCCAGAACTGAGGCTGTAGATCCAGGACTGAGGCTGTAGATCCAGGACTGAGGCTGTAGATCCAGGACTGAGGCTGTAGATCCAGAACTGAGGCTGTAGATCCAGAACTGAGGCTGTAGATCCAGAACTGAGGCTGTAAATCTTACCCAGGGTCTGCAGATGCTCCTTGCTGGTTGTCCCGCTGGTCCTGGTGTCCTCTCGGCTGAGGTGCTGCAGGACAGAGTTCAGGACTCGGAGGTCGACTCGGACCTGGAGGCTGCAGAGTCCCAGCAGCTCACAGAAACACACCACAGCTGCTCCCACTGAGGGGGAGGTGAAGAGGCTAACTGCCAATCTGTACACCTGCATCCAGGCCTTCTGCAGACTGAGAGGAGGGGGGGTGGGGGGTGGAGAGAGAGAGAGAGAGTACAGAGAGAAAGGAGAGAGAAAAACAAACGGTTACTGAGCAAGAGGAGTTTACTTTTACTTGGAAGTCAATATGAGCCTGAGAGAGTTGGAGCAAATTAACTATTAACTGAGATAGCGATAGCATGGTCCAACAGTCTATGGCAAATACAAATAATAATGATGATAAACTTGTATTATGTCCCATTACATACAGTATAAAGATATATGTACGGTATACATATATATATATATATATATATATATATATATATATTAGTGCTGTCCAACGATTAAAATATTTAATCGCGATTAATCGCATGAATTTCATAGTTAACTCGCGATTAATCGCAAATTAGTCACACATTTGTATCTATTCTTTATGTCCCTTGAATTATCATTTTAATACTACTAAAAAGTGAATAGGCGTGCAATTGCTTTTTTTATTGAAAACAATGTGTAGCGTTCTATTACACAATGTCATGTGATGCAAAATCATCAATAAATGGATGACAAAATAAATAATTGGTAACAAAAAGCCCCTTCAACAAAGGGTGATACAAAATAAAGTTGCAAAGTGCAAATCAATGTAAACAAGGACTCAGCCTATAGTGCAGTTAAACCATGGCTTAAACTTTACTTTGAACTAGCAGTAACACTGTACTGCTCTTCTGTTTATTCACCAGAGGCTTATCAACCCAGCCTCATATTTCTGTGCAAAAAGAACATTAACAGTTACCTAAAAGATATGCCAGCCTACTACTTCTTTTCTTTGAGCCAGTTACTCAAGCAGACAAGCCTGTTGACATTTTCAGACAACAGAGAAGCTCTTTTTTTCTGAACAACATGTCCAGACAGTGAAAACAACCTTTCAGAAGGTACTGATGTGGCAGGTGTTGCCAAGTACTTGCGTGCAAGGCGGGCTATCTCACTGTGTGAAGCTTCATGTGTGAGCCACCATTCCTGAGGAGAGTCCTCTATGCCAATGAGAGGCTCTCCCTTGTAGCGCTCCAGACATTTCTCAATACTGTCCTCCTCTTCATCAGACGAAGACTCTGGTGCAAGCAAGAGAGCTGGTTTCTTCGTGGCCGGCTCAGGTGTGACTTGGTTATCGGGCTGTGCAGGCTTCTCCTTCTCCATCTCCTGGAGCAAGGCGCGGACTGAATCCCACACCTGAACCCTGTCAGGTTTGCTTAGGCACTTGAGGTCCTTAAACCTTGAAATGAAATTATATTAAATTAAACTTTATCATTATGCAAGTACAGGTATAACAAAACTGTGACAGTACCCCTATTTCTATTATGCCAAATTTAAAATCGAAAAGTAAAAAAGGAAGTAAAAAGAAGCAACCCAAAACTAACAGACTAGAGAGAAACACAATACTGAGAATGAGGAGTATGTAGTATGGCAATCTGACCTTGGGTCAAGTGCTGTCGCAACTCTCAGCCATGTAACATTGGTCTTCTCCTTGCGAGCTTCCAGGTCTGCTGTGAAGGTTTCCTTGAACTTGATCATGTAGGATGGGTCGTCCTCAGTGACCTCCATCACTCGGGACAGATGACACAATGCTGGCAGTACCACTGAGCAAGAAACATACTTCTCTCCACCCAGAAGTTCAGATATATACCTGCAATAATATTAAGAAGCTCTTTAGTGTTTCACTCACATATCACTCACTCGATTATTAAAGAAACAAATAAACAAGAAATTACCTGCACTGCTCCAACGCAGCCTCAAGCTTCTTCATTTTCTCCAGTTCAGTTGCTGTTGGCATGGTGACGTTGGTTTTGTGTAGTGCCAGTGCATCTCTCAGGGGTTCAGCATTCCGCTGGACACGCTTGATCATTTCTAGGGTACTATTCCATCTTGTTGACACGTCCTGTGTGAGTGACTCGGTCTTCTGATGGTGTGCGGTTTGTTGCTGCTCGAGCTCCACGGCATTTGCTGGGCTATGCTTGAAGTGCCCAACAACTTTTCTGCATTTTGCCAATGCGTTGTCAAATGGGCTGTTATGTAGAGAAACCGTGACTGCTCGGTGCACACTGTGTGCGATGCACGGCATGTGTTCAAAAGGGAGCTGTCTGGCCGCAGCAATCATGTTGCGTGCACTATCCGTGGTCAGTGAGACAACTTTGTGTTCGATATTCCACTCTCTGGCTACTTTCATGAAATGCTCTCCAACAGCGTCGCTGAAGTGCCTCTCTTCTGTCTTCATAACAGTCAAAGCATGCGAATGAAGTTCCCACTGTGGATCGAAATAATGGGCTGTGACTCCGAGGTAGTTATCATTACTGAGGGATGTCCAGTAATCTCCAGTCAGCGCGACCTCATTTGTCTGCTCCAACGCATGCTGTACCTTAGACGTCTCAGTTTCGTACAAATTCTCGATGCGTCTTGTAATGGTAGCACGCGAAGGGGCTTCATATGTCCAGTCGTTGGATGCGATGCGTATGATCTCAGTTAGACCCTCGTCCTCCACAATGTTGACGGGCCTACATGCAGTAGCTATCCATTTGGCTATGGCTGCAATAAGTTTGTTTTTAGTTGCGGCATCCATATGCCTCTGTCGAAAGCCATCGATTGTGACCTGGTTTGGAGAGGAAGGCGGCGCAGATTTCCCATCAGCGGTGTGCTTGGCCATCAAGTGGTATTTCAAAGAGGATGTGCTACGGTGATAACTAAGTTCGCACCGGCAATACACACAAATAACTTTAGTCTTGTCAGTCGACCCATCTGGCAACATTTTGAAACTAAACTTTCCATTTAGGAGCTTGTTTACCTCCATTTCGGCGTTTCGCGCTTGACTTTTACCGCTAGCGAGCAGGCAAGACCAGACCAAACATTTGCGTGGGGGGGCGTACCTATTGTTTTGTTTCCGGTTTACAAGCGGAATGGATCCTGTAATTTTTCTAACATTACTAGCAGTGGCCACAGCTTAAAAAAAAACTACAAGTAGTCTACCAGTGTCCTGCGCTCCGCTGTCTTCCGGGGGCCCCGCAGGAGGGCAGGTTACCATGCCCAGGCTCATTTTTTTAATGCATCACATAGATTTAGACTGATTTAGGGGGAGAAGGAGGAAAAATAAATAAATAAATTAAAATAAAATTAAAAAAATAAAATAAATAATAATAATAATAATAATTTTTTTTTTTTTAATCGCGCAATAAAAAAAATGACGGCGTTAATATTGATTTGCGTTAACGCGTTAATAACGCGCTATTTTGGACAGCCCTAATTTATATATATATGTATTTTTATATGTACGGTATATATATGTATGTATTATATGTACGGTATATATATGTATTATTATAACATAAAGCTGAAAGACTCTCACAGAAGCTGGACGTCGCTGCAGCTGTTCAGATGTTGAACGAGGAACGTGGCGTAAGCGACGGACGGTCGGCCGTGACGTAGGAAGTACAGGAAGTCCAGGTTCTCCACCAGAGCGAACTTAGAGACCAGAGCAGGACTGGAGAAGTGCGGCAGCTCCGAGGTCTCTGCACCAGTCACACATGGTCTTTCAGTGCATTCTAAAGTATAACAGTTACATGATACCCTAACCCAGAGTAGAATAGAGAACTCTAAAGGGTCAATTGTTTCATTTTTGTATTTATATACAACTGGGCTTTATAAATATGGTTCATTCTTACACTTTAACTTGAACAGAATAATGTGAAGATGATTCCAGATTCTCACCAGTGCAGTTCAGAGAGTTGGTCGTCTGCCAACTGAAGAGTTTAGACGGATCCAAAGGATGAAGAGACTGGAACAAAAACAAGGTAACATTATCTTTATGTGTCAACACAACGATACACAACCATACAACACTGTACAAAGTGTGACATGGTCCACAGTGTGCATGCCTATGATAAGCACTGTCAGTCTCTAGAGCAGAACAGTGAGAAACCTGAGCTAAATGTTTCTTTAAAAACTGCTCACTCTGTGCTGTGTGTGTGTTATCAAACCTATAGGAAGTGTGTGTGTGGTGTATGTTTTTATGCGTCTGTCTGTAGCGTGTTTGTGTGTGTGTCTGTGCGCACGCTTGTGTGTGTATGTGTGCTGTAGCGTAGCGGCATGAGGGTCTGGGACACCGTGACTCAGTAAAGTGACACATGTAGTTCTATATTGCACATTCGGACATTATTTAAGTTATTTTAAGTTATCTAAAGTTATTGCACAGATGCACAACATGTCAGGTCAGATTGACAGTGCTCTTCAGTCCTCATTGTTCGTTGTACAGTCCGACAGCAAGACCTTCGGACCTCTCCTTTACACAGAGGGTGGATCAGTCCGTCACTGAAGCTGCCTTCGAGAATAGACGAGTAGAGTTTCCTTCAGGTGGCGGCAGTCATGATCCAGCCAACAGGTTGTGTGTGTGTGTGTGTGTGTGAGAGTGTGTGTGCGTACGTGTGTGTGTGTCCTGACCTGCATGAGGAGGTAAACTGAGACATCCTGAGGAGAGCTCCCTCTGGCTGCAGGCGGGAAAAGAGCAGCTTTCAGTTTTGGATACGGAGACAGTGCCATCTTCAGGAGCTGAGGGTCCACTGCAGTCTCTGAGCCTGAGCCCTGTGAGAGGACCTGCACACACATGAAAACTTAAAGATTGCGATTTAGACAAGCCAATTTTAGTCGCTCTGGTCTCTCGCTCTGGTCTCTCACTCCGGTCTCTCTCACTCCGGTCTCTCTCACTCCGGTCTCTCTCACTCCGGTCTCTCTCACTCCGGTCTCTCTCACTCCGGTCTCTCTCACTCCGGTCTCTCTCACTCCGGTCTCTCTCACTCAGGTCTCTCTCACTCAGGTCTCTCTCACTCAGGTCTCTCTCACTCAGGTCTCTCTCACTCAGGTCTCTCTCACTCAGGTCTCTCTCACTCAGGTCTCTCTCACTCAGGTCTCCGGCAGTGAGTACCTGGTCAATTCCTCCAGGAGCAAACATGATGGAGGCCAGAGCCAGCTGGGTGTGTCCCTCCAGGAGCAGAGAGGAGAGGGCAGCCTGGCTCCCAGGGAGGAGGACCTGGGCACTGGTGAGACTGGCCTGGAACACCAGTCCTGGATCTGAACACAGGGTTTAGACATGTTCATTTTACACACAAACACACAAATGTTTACATCATCCCCTCTTTTTTTCCAGCTTGTTTGTCCAGTGAAGGTCGCACTGCTTAAACACAGATTTGTTCATGCCTGTACTAGTAGCGCTCCAGCAGTTTTCAACGTACAAAAACAGCAAGTTGAGGTGATGTGGGAGCTGTGCTGGAGAAAAGGATGAGGGCTCTTATGCAGTGCATCCTGGGTAACTCCAGACACCCTCTGCATGACACTATGGCCTCTCAGAGGAGTAATCATAGCCACAAGTTACTATCACTACGCTGCCGAACGGAACGTTTCAAGAGATCCATTGTTCTGTGACTGTCAGACTGTTCAACAAACCTGCATAAGTCTTCTGCTGCTGGACACCTGAATTTCTCCTACAGTATCAGTATCCTACAGGAACAGTAAAGGATCAATAAAGTCTCTATGCGTTATGTCCAAAACGCACGTTTGTCTGCAGGTTATTGAACAATATTTTCTTGCATAATATAATTATAGTTAAACCCCCAACCATTAGCCATGAAAAAGTCTTATCTGTCCTGTTAAATATTCCATTCACAAAGCCTCAACATGACACGTCCTAAAAGCAACAATTGTGTCCCCAAAGTTCAATACCATTTTTTGATATGTACCCATTTCCATTTTTTTTAAATTGTTTTGAGCCCATCTGAGATCGCAAACATTTTTGGTTCAAACATTTTTGGTTCAAACATTTATTTTATTGCCACTTGAAGTAATATTGACGCATTATACTTTTTAGAGTGCAGAGGGCCACAGACGATTGAAAATTACTTCAGTATCCAATGTTCTCTTTGAGTAAACTGTGTTCGCTCATCCTTAGTGAAAAGGTTTGAGGTCTATTTTCAACCTTGTTTCCACTGCTAGAGAGAGAGACCAGAAAGAGAGACCAGAGAGACATAGACCAGAGAGAGACACCAGAGAAAGACACCAGAGAGAGACACCAGAGAGGAATAGATCAGAGAGAGAACAGAGAGACAGACCAGAGAGAGAGCGAGACTAAAGAAAGACGCCAGAGAGACCAGAGAGAGACACCAGAGAGACACTAGAGAGAGACACCAGGGAGAGACACCAGAGACGGACCTTCTCTGAAAACATATACAACATCAAAATGGCACATAAGACTTCACCTGAGAGGTCAGTGGTGATCTCCTGGATTCGGACCAGCATCTCAAACCAGGGGTGGCTCACAAACAGGTCCTGGTTGCACAGAGCAGGGCAGTTTCTGGGAGTCAGACTATAAAACAGAACACACTGCTGTAATGAAGGTCATTCATTTAAGTACTGAACAGAACATTAGGATACATTATGCAGTTTTTTAGACATTTCTCCTCATTATAAGTTCAGTTAATGAGTTTCAGAGTATTCCCTTTGCTGCATTAGCTCCACTATCCATGTCCACTTTCACCAGCTTTATTAACATTCATCGTCTGATTCATTCTAACCATATTTTCCAGTGAATTCTTTACAAAACTCTACACCAGACGTCCTCCAGACTTTGTTAAAGTGATGGCTGTTCTCAATGTGTGACTTTAAGATTTCAATGTCCAAAATATGATCATAGCAAATGTTAGTGTTTGGGTGAAGACAAAAAACATCCATTAATTGCATTTGCTTTCTGGTCTCTCTCGCTGGTCCCTCTCGGGTCTCTCTCTGATCCCTCTCGGGTCTCTCTCTCTGCTACAGTGCCTTGCGAAAGTATTCGGCTCCCTTGAACCTTTCAACATTTCGCCACATTTCAGGCTTCAAACATAAAGATATAAAATTAGAATTTTCTTTCAAAAATCAACAACAAGTGGGACACAATCGTGAAGTGGAACAACATTTATTGGATAATTTAAACTTTTTTAACAAATAGAAAACTGAAAAGTGGGGCGTGCAATATTATTCGGCCCCTTTACTTTCAGTGCAGCAAACTCAGTCCAGAAGTTCAGTGAGGATCTTTGAATGATCCAATGTTGTCCTAAATGACTGATGATGATAAATAGAATGCACCTGTGTGTAATCAAGTCTCCGTATAAATGCACCTGCTCTTTGATAGTCTCAGGGTTCTGTTTAAAGCGCAGAGAGAACCATGAAGACAAAGGAACACACCAGGCAGGTCCGAGATACTATTGTGGAGAAGTTTAAAGCCGGATTTGGATACAAAAAGATTTCCCAAGCTTTAAACATCTCAAGGAGCACTGTGCAAGCAATTATATTGAAATGGAAGGAGTATCAGACCACTGCAAATCTACCAAGACCCGGCCGTCCGTCCAAACTTTCATCTCAAACAAGAAGACTGATCAGAGATGCAGCCAAGAGGCCCATGATCACTCTGGATGAACTGCAGATAACTACAGCTGAGGTGGGAGAGTCTGTCCATAGGACAATCAGTCGTGCACTGCACAAATCTGGCCTTTATGGAAGAGTGGCAAGAAGAAAACCATTTCTCAAAGATATCCATAAAAAGTCTCGTTTAAAGTTTGCCACAAGCCACCTGGGAGACACACCAAACATGTGGAAGAAGGTGCTCTGGTCAGATGAAACCAAAATCGAACTTTTTGGCCACAATGCAAAACGATATGTTTGGCGTAAAAGCAACACAGCTCATCACCCTGAACACACCATCCCCACTGTCAAACATGGTGGTGGCAGCATCATGCTTTGGGCCTGCTTTTCTTCAGCAGGGACAGGGAAGATGGCTAAAATTGATGGGAAGATGGATGGAGTCAAATACAGGACCAATCTGGAAGAAAACCTGTTGGAGTCTGCAAAAGACCTGAGACTGGGACGGAGATTTATCTTCCAACAGGACAATGATCCAAAACATAAAGCCAAATCTACAATGGAATGGTTCACAAATAGACGTATCCAGGTGTTAGAATGGCCAAGTCAAAGTCCAGACCTGAATCCAATCGAGAATCTGTGGAAAGAGCTGAAGACTGCTGTTCACAAACGCTCTCCATCCAACCTCACTGAGCTCCAGCTGTTTTGCAAGGAAGAATGGGCAAGAATTCCAGTCTCTCGATGTGCAAAACTGATAGAGACATACCCCAAGCGACTTGCAGCTGTAATTGCAGCAAAAGGTGGCGCTACAAAGTATTAGCGCAAGGGGGCCGAATAATATTGCACGCCCCACTTTTCAGTTTTTTATTTGTTAAAAAAGTTTAAATTATCCAATAAATTTCGTTCCACTTCACGATTGTGTCCCACTTGTTGTTGATTCTTGACAAAAATTTTTGAAGCCTGAAATGTGGCGAAATGTTGAAAGGTTCAAGGGGGCCGAACACTTTCGCAAGGCACTGTAACTCTCTCTGCTATCTCTCTCTGCTATCTCTTTCTGCTATCTCTTTCTGGTCTCCCTCTCTGGTCTCCCTCTCTGGTCTCTCTCTCTGGTCTCTCTCTCTCTCTGGTCTCTCTCTCTCTCTGGTCTCTCTCTCTCTCTGGTCTCTCTCTCTCTGGTCTCTCTCTCTGGTTCAGACTGACCTGTGGTGTTGGAGGTAGGAGTAGAGCAGGTATTTGAGTCCTCGGTCCAGACAGAACCTGATGAAGACCGTGTGGAAGTCCAGACCCTGAGAGGCTCTGTAGACCTGCAGCAGACTGGACTGTGACATCACCCCCTCACTCTGGGCCACACGCCACAAGAGACGCTCCAGGTCGCATAACTCCTCTGGGATAAACACACCTCTCCTACAACAACGCAAAACGGCACACAACATTTCATTTAACACACAATGACACAACTAGTTCTGCTCATGGTTCTCAATTTGAATAAAGGAGAAATATTATGCATTATTTTTTTTGTCCATAAAAATATAACAGGTAAAACATGTAGAAAGACTAAATAATTCTTTCTGCCTGTAACTCCCTGTGCTACCACCAGAAGGCCAGAGACCAGAGCGACCAGAGAGAGACTAGAGAGACCAGAGAGAGGGACCAGAAGGAGAGACTGGGGAGAGACCAGAGAGAGGGACCAGAGAGAGAGACTGGGGAGAGACCAGAGAGAGAGAGCAGAGAGACCCCACCTGGCCAGCTGATCCAGGATGTGCTCTCTCATGTAGCTGCTGCAGGAGGTGCTCTGGTGCAGCTCTTCAGGTCTCAGCTCTGGCCACTGGGAGGCGCCCCAGCTCTGCACCCACTGCTCCACAAGCTGCTCCTGGTGGAGGGAGGTCAGGTACCTCCACAGCACCGAGGAGTCACAGGAGGGCAGCTCTAAGAGAAGACAGGAGGTAAGCTCTAGTACACAGGATGGCAGCTCTAGACAACAAAACAGGTTAGCTCTAAGAACTAAGAGCCAATGGGAGGAGTTTGGAATCTGTCCAGGTGTATTCAGGACCCGTTTCTGAAGAAGGAAGAACTCAAGGGTCTTCTACCACCACAGCTCACCAGAGAGAGGGATCAGAGAGGGACTAGAGAGGGATCAGAAAGAGACCTGAGAGAGATCAGAGAGAGTCCTGAAAGATCTGAGAGAGATTCAAGAGAGACCAGAGAGACCAGAGAGAGACCAGAGAGAGACCAGAGGGAGAGACCAGAGAGGCACCAGCCAGAGACTAGAGAGAGACCAGAGAGAGTGGCACCTGTATGCTTGAGGCGGGACAGGAGGATGCGGGTCTGGCTGCCCTGCTCCCAGTTTTTAACCCAGTCCAGACGCACGTTCACCCAGAGATTGGAATCTCCAAACCCCGGCTGAGCCATGAGATCTTTCAGAACTTCTCCAGTGTCTGCAGCGTGGACCATGTGTAAAAGTCTGAAACAGCAACAAGAAACCAATTTATTGTACTTGTGGATTCACCAACAACAGATCAGAGAATAAAACAGTTCATACTCAGAAAATGCTATAATAATAATTTTAAAAAATAGGAGCCGCTGGTCAGTTGGTAGAGCATTGGCCTTTAGGCCTGAAGGTCGTGGGTTTAATTCCCACCTCTGCACCTTCTCCACCGACTCCCACTGATGTCTGCTGTTGTTGTGTCCTTGGGCAAGACACTTAACCCCACTTTGCCCAAAGCCCCCGCTGAAAGATCAAGGCTATGCTCACACTGACAGAGCAGCCATCCTCGTGTGGACTCACCACCTGCAGGAGGGTCAGTGAGGGGCTGGTGCTCTGTGACTTGGGTGGCATCTCTGATTGCCACCCCCCCGACCCAGAAATGGATTAAAGGGTAGAAAATGGATGGATGGATGGAGCCATTGGCCGTTGGTCCATAGGGGACTGAGGCTGTAGATGCAGGACTGAGGCTGTAGATCCATGTCTGAGGCTGTAGTCTATAATCAGGCTTTAAAGGCACTGGGAAAAAAACGCTTCGCTATCATCACTGCCATATTTTGAGTAAGTATAAATTGCTGAGTTTTGACAATTTAATTACATTCAATAATCCAAGAAGCATATTCAAAATCACAAATAATTTAGCTGCACCTCCTCTGAAAATCTTTGTCAAACTTTGCTCTGAACAAATGTCTCGATCGACTCCACTGTAAACAAAAACTGTGTGATCCCAAAAAGACCGTCGGCTTTTGCAAAATCTGCCTTTTCCTGTCGTGCCGTTAAACAGTGGAATCAGCTCCCGGACAGTCTGAAATTGTCTGTAGATCTGAAACATTTCACTATTAATTTGAAAAAGCACATTTTAATTTGTGCTAACATTTATGAACTTTAATAGCATTTGAAATGTTATTTATTTTATCTTAGGTTATTATAGGAAAACATTGAATGTATATATGATTGTATTTCTGTGTAAGGTAAGTTTGCTTTTATATTTGAGATGTGTGTATCTGTGTGTGTTCACCTGCCCAGGGACTACAGATGGAAAGTAGCTTCAGCTAAATCTGGTGAAAACCATCTCTTCTTTAGTAAAGACTAATGGTTTTTGTACATTGTCCCTGTTTTTATAAACAATAAACTAACTAACTAACTAACTAACTAGATCCAGGACTGAGGCTGTAGATCCAGGACTGAGGCTGTAGATCCAGGACTGAGGCTTCTCCATCAACCACAAAACAAAGAAAATCACATTTGACTTGAGCAAAAGCAGGAGACTTGTTTTGTACCTGGGAGCTGGAGACTTGGACGAGCTCTGAGCCACAGGGAGCGAGCACAGTCGTTCCATTTCTCTGATGAACGAGAGAGATTTGGCTTCGTCTGCTGTAAAATAGTTTCTCCTCATCAGTTCTTCCACCTAAAAAGCAGCAGTCAAGAATCAATCAGGATGAAGAAGATCAGAGAAAAAAGAGGAAGGAGTTTGGGGAGTTATTGGATTATATCGGGACCTTCTTGAAGCACAATCTGCTAATGGAACAAGCACTTTAAAGTATTAGGTCAAGCACCTCAAACATGGCTCATCTTAGTCTTGATTTTAAAGAAGGAAGACGTTTAGAGAGAAGCATGTTGAAGAGAGTGAGAGACTAGAGAGGGAGAGAGAGACCAGAGAGAGACCAGAGAAAGACCAGAGAGAGACCAGAGAGAGACCAGTGAGAGACCAGAGAGAGACCAGAGAGAAACCAGAGAGAGACCAGTGAGTAACCAGAGAGAGACCAGAGAGAGACCAGAGAAAGACCAGTGAGAAACCAGAGAGAGACCAGAGAGAGACCAGAGAGAGACCAGAGAGAGACCAGAGAAAGACCAGTGAGAAACCAGAGAGAGACCAGAGAGAGACCAGAAAGAGACCAGAGAGTGACCAGAGAGTGACCAGAGAGTGACCAGAGAGTGACCAGAGAGAGACCTGAGAGAGATCAGAGAGTGACCAGAGAGTGACCAGAGAGAGACCAGAGAGAGACCAGAGAGAGACCAGAGAGAGACCAGAGACAGACCAGAGAGAGACCAGAGAGAGACCAGAGAGAGACCAGAGAGAGACCAGAGAAAGACCAGTGAGAAACCAGAGAGAGACCAGAGAGAGACCAGAGAGAGACCAGAGAGAGCAGAGAAAGATCAGTGAGAGAGCAGATAGAGACCAGATAGAAACCGGGGAGACCAGAGATAGACCAGAGATAGACCAGAGATAGACCAGAGATAGACCAGAGATAGACCAGAGATAGACCAGAGATAGACCAGAGATAGACCAGAAAGAGACCAGAAAGAGACCAGAGAGAGACCAGAGAGAGACCAGAGAGAGACCAGAGAGAGACCAGAGAGAGACCAGAGAGAGACCAGAGCGAGACCAGAGCGAGACCAGAGCGAGACCAGAGCGAGACCAGAGAGAGACCAGAGAGAGACCAGAGAGAGACCAGAGAGACACCTTTATAGTATCTGTGTGACTCACCACAAACTCTCGCAGGTCTTTGTCGTCAGTGAACTGGCAGATTCTGTGGAACTCCTCCTTCACGCTGAAACCCTGAAATAACACAAACATCAAGGATCGCAGAAGGACAGGAGCAGCCACAGGAGCAGCCACAGGAGCAGCCACAGGAGCAGCCAGAGACACAGTTACAGTTAAACATCATAAAAGCTGTCAAAAGAAACATATGGTGTTGTTCCGGAGACGTTCCAGGACTGTGCTCTGGTTGCGTCAGTCTCTACTGTATTGCACTTGTCTGAGTCTGACATGTGCAATTAACAACAAATAGGATTCTACAAATGACATTGGCGAGTTTATTATGGTGAGTTGTATAAAGCAGACGTGAACTGGAGAAAGACAAGAGCTTTGTGAATCCCTCTGAATGAATGAGGGTTCTATTTCAAGTCTCTCCATGGCCTCGCATCAAAGTACATCTGTGACATGTTAGTGCTATATGAACCAAGGAGGACTCTGAGGAGCACAGGGACTGGCCTCCTGCTGGGACTCTGAGGAGCACAGGGACTGGCCTCCTGCTGGGACTCTGAGGAGCACAGGGACTGGCCTCCTGCTTGTGCCCAGAATCAGGACTGAACATAACAAGGCAGCGTTTCAGATTCATGCAGCTAAAATCTGGAACAGTCCGGGTAAAAACAGTTCTGGTTAGCTGTGCATACAACTGAGGAATTGTACGTCACTCTTTTTAATATATTCATGATTTTAATGCTCCTGTGGACTCACCACCAGCAGGAGGATCAGTGAGGGGCTGGGGCAGCTCTGACTTCCACCCCCCGACCCAGAAATGGATTAAGGGGAAGAAAATGGATGGATGGATGATTTGAATGCCTTGTGTTTATGTGTCTATCTTGTTTTGCTCAACACTTTGAGTTGCCTTGTTTTATGAGCAGTGTCTCTCTAGTCTCTCTCTCTCTCTCTCTCTCTGGCCTCTCTTTGTCACTCTGAGTTGCCTTGTGTATGAATAGTGCTAAACAAATAAACTTGTGGTTACACGTCTATTGTCTACAGTGTTATCTTTGTCTGTGAGTTAGTAACATGTGTGTTCTGTGTGTGTGGATCAGAAACACATCATAAATACCATGTTAGTGAGCAGAGCCATGGCTGTGGGCAGATCCCGGTCCTGGAGACTGGAGTAGACCTGCTGAAGCCCCACCCCCTTCAGAACCTCCAGTCTGTGCTCTGATTGGCCACGACGCCTCAGCACCGCTTGTGCTCGCGGAATCTGATTGATCAGGACAGAGGCCCGGACCACCTCCTGAGAAACACACAGAAACAAGTACAGCCTGAGTCCTGGATCTACAGCCTGAGTCCTGGATCTACAGCCGGAGTCCTGGATCTACAGCCTGAGTCCTGGATCTACAGCCTCAGTCCTGGGTCTACAGCCTCAGTCCTGGGTCTACAGCCTCAGTCCTGGGTCTACAGCCTCAGTCCTGGGTCTACAGCCTCAGTCCTGGGTCTACAACCTCAGTCCTGGGTCTACAGCCTTACAGCCTCAGTCCTGGGTCTACAGCCTCAGTCCTGGATCCACAGTCTCAGCCTGTGTTACCTCTGTAGACAGATGGTCCCAGTCGTCTTTGCTGGTCTGGTCTCGGTTGCTCTGGTCTCTGGTGTTGGACCAGGGGAACCTCTTCATGAACCCTCGGAGCTGAGTCAGGTACTGGTCCAACACTTCCACACAGCTCTGAACGTCTGCGCTGTCACCTTTACAAAGAACAAAGTTCACTCAATGATCATTAATAAAACATTTATGTCTCAGTCCTGGTTCTACAGCCGGTCTCTCTCTGGTCTCTCTCTGGTCTCTCTCTGGTCTCTCTCTGGTCTCTCTCTGGTCTCTCTCTGGTCTCTCTCTGGTCTCTCTCTGGGTCGCTCTCTCGCTGGTCTCTCTCTCGCTGGTCTCTCTCTCGCTGGTCTCTCTCTCGCTGGTCTCTCTCTCGCTGGTCTCGCTCTCTCTGGTCTCTCGCTGGTCTTTCTCTGGTCTTTCTCTGGTCACTCTCTGGTCACTCTCTGGTCACTCTCTGGTCACTCTATGGTCACTCTCTGGTCACTCTCTGGTCACACTCTCTGGTCACTCTCTCTGGTCACTCTCTCTGGTCACTCTCTCTGGTCACCCTCTCTGGTCACTCTCTCTGGTCACCCTCTCTGGTCACCCTCTCTCTGGTCACCCTCTGTCTGGTCACTCTCTCTCTGGTCACTCTCTCTCTGGTCACCCTCTCTCTGGTCACCCTCTCTCTGGTCACTCTCTCTCTAGTCACCCTCTCTCTGGTCACCCTCTCTGGTCACCCTCTCTGGTCACCCTCTAGTCACTCTCTCTGGTCACTCTCTAGTCACTCTCTCTGGTCACCCTCTGTCTGGTCACTCTGGTCACTCTCTAGTCACTCTCTCTGGTCACCCTCTGTCTGGTCACTCTCTCTGGTCTCTCTCTCTCTGGTCTCTCTCTGGTCACTCTGGTCACTCTGGTCACCCTCTCTGGTCACTCTCTCTGGTCACTCTCTCTGGTCACTCTCTCTGGTCACTCTCTCTCTAGTCACCCTCTCTAGTCACCCTCTCTGGTCACCCTCTCTGGTCACCCTCTCTGGTCACCCTCTCTCTGGTCACCTCTCTCTGGTCACCCTCTCTGGTCACCCTCTCTGGTCACCCTCTCTCTGGTCCCTCTCTCTAGTCACTCTCTCTGGTCACTCTCTCTGGTCACTCTCTCTGGTCACTCTCTCTCTGGTCACTCTCTCTCTGGTCACTCTCTCTGGTCACTCTCTCTCTGGTCACTCTCTCTCTGGTCACTCTCTCTCTGGTCACTCTCTCTCTGGTCACTCTCTCTCTAGTCACCCTCTCTGGTCACCCTCTCTGGTCACCCTCTCTCTGGTCACTCTCTCTCTGGTCACCCTCTCTGGTCACCCTCTCTGGTCACCCTCTCTCTGGTCCCTCTCTCTAGTCACTCTCTCTGGTCACTCTCTCTGGTCACTCTCTCTGGTCACTCTCTCTCTGGTCACTCTCTCTCTGGTCACTCTCTCTCTGGTCACTCTCTCTCTAGTCACTCTCTCTCTAGTCACTCTCTCTCTAGTCACTCTCTCTGGTCACTCTCTCTCTGGTCACTCTCTCTCTAGTCACTCTCTCTCTAGTCACTCTCTCTGGTCACTCTCTCTGGTCACCCTCTCTCTGGTCACTCTCTCTCTCTGGTCACCCTCTGTCTGGTCACCCTCTGTCTGGTCACTCTCTCTGGTCACCCTCTCTCTGGTCACCCTCTCTCTGGTCACCCTCTCTCTGGTCACCCTCTCTCTGGTCACCCTCTCTCTGGTCACTCTCTCTCTCTGGTCACCCTCTCTCTGGTCACTCTCTCTCTGGTCACTCTCTCTGGTCACTCTCTCTGGTCACTCTCTCTGGTCACTCTCTCTGGTCACTCTCTCTGGTCACTCTCTCTAGTCACTCTCTCTAGTCACTCTCTCTAGTCACTCTCTCTAGTGACTCTCTCTGGTCCCTCCCCTGGTCCCTCACCTGGTCCCTCACCTGGTCCCTCCCCTGGTCTCTCAGACAGCAGGTCTTGGATCTGCGTGTGGAGGAAGCTGAGGGTGATGTGCAGCAGCTGCTCAGAGAACTGTCGACTCTGAGCTTCACTGTTGGAGTCAGTCACAGCGCAACACAACAGGTCTAAGGCAGGACACAACAACTGCACCCCTGCAACACACCCACAGAGACAGACAAAGAAAGAGAGAGACACACACACGCACACAGACACACACAGACAAAATGATTACTTTTAAATATCACCTGGGGTTCATGATTATTTTCTGGTAGATTTTTCTGAACAAAACAAGTTCAGTTTCCAAATTGTTTCCAGTTTGAACCAAAACTAGGATGATTAAGGATTGGACTAAGGACTACTAAAGGCTACATGATCTAATTATGCTAGAAAGAAAAAAAAAAGATCTGGTTGTGGTTGTTTTCTTGGAAACATTAGCTTTAAAATGAGGTATAACGCACCCTGGAAGCTCATATAAACCTACCATCAACGCTGGTAATACGAATAGTAATAATTGGGGCCGTGCTGGACGCCTGTGATGTCACCTTTTATTTAAATTTATTGAAATTCTTTTATTGAAATTCCAATCTTTCTACACATCATGAATCCAGTCAGAAACCCACAGAACTCAGTAGAACCCAGACAAACAAATGTCAAAATATATATCTGTGCTGTTTTAAGTCAATTTAGGATGGGTAATCTAAATCAATGACTACATTTGGCTTTGGGTTCTTTGGTTCATACATTAGTCCATGCATTAAACGAAAAAGTTAAACCTTTGACATTTGTGTTGCATATTTGTAACAGAGGGTGCTACGGGGTTAAAGATGTACAAGTCTTATTACTGATGCGTACTCTCAGTGAGGTTGGTCCCCGTGATCCCCGTGGTCCCGGTGGTCCCTGTATCCTCAGAGGGACTCAGAAGGTCCTCTTTACTCTTCAGAAGGTTCTCTTTACTCTTCAGGTAGAAGTCCACGGTGTCTAGCTGACGGTTCTTCAGTCCTGCCTTTTCCCACATCAAAAAAAGTCTGTAATACTTTTAAATATGTTTTCTGTTAAAGGATGTTATAATTGCACAGTTCTAAAAATATATTTAACACGTGCAGTAGAGAAAGTACCTGGTATCACACTGAAGAACAGACACTACATTTGATCTTAGCCAAAAGCAGAGATCTTGTTCTTTGGGACTAAAAGAAAATGAGGACTAAAACCCGGGTGAAGGGGCTCTAACCTGCAGGGAGTGGATGGGGATGGAACAGCGCCCCCAGCTGTTCAGGTTGCAGACTGCATCCACTGTGGCCGCACTCCCAAACAACATGAGTCTGCTGAGGAGGTCCTCCTGAGAGACTGAGAACAGGACCTGAACCAGACCGGACTCTGAGGACCCAAACACACAGCATCAGAGACCAGAGAGAGAGACCACAGAGAGACCACAGAGAGACAAGAGAGAGATCAGACAGAGGCCAAGAACAGAACCTGGACCGGACTGGACACTGAAGACCCAATAATATAACATCAGACCAGAAAGAGACCAGAGAGAGACCAGAGAGAGACCAGAGAGAGACCAGGAAGAGACCAGGAAGAGACCAGGGAGAGACCAGGGAGAGACAAGAGAAAGACCAGAGAGAGACCAGAGAGAGACCAGAGAGAGACCAGAGAGAGACCAGAGAGAGACCAGAGAGAGACCAGAGAGAGAGAGAGAGACCAGAGACCAGAGAGAGACCAGAGAGAGACCAGAGAGAGACCAGAGAGAGACCAGAGAGAGACCAGAGAGAGACCAGAGAGAGACCAGGAAGAGACCAGAGAGAGACCAGGGAGAGACAAGAGAAAGACCAGAGAGAGACCAGAGAGAGACCAGAGAGAGACCAGAGAGAGACCAGATAGAGACCAGAGAGAGACCAGAGAGAGACCAGAGAGAGACCAGAGAGAGACCAGAGAGAGACCAGGAGAGACCAGGGAGAGACAAGAGAAAGACCAGAGAGAGACCAGAGAGAGACCAGAGAGAGACCAGAGAGAGACCAGAGAGAGACCAGAGAGAGACCAGAGAGAGACCAGAGAGAGACTAGAGAGAGACCAGAGAGAGACCAAAGAGAGACCAAAGAGAGACCAAAGAGAGACCAGAAAGAGACCAGAAAGAGACCAGAGAGAGACCAGAGAGAGACCAAAGAGAGACCAAAGAGAGACCAGAAAGAGACCAGAAAGAGACCAGAGAGAGACCAGAGAGAGACCAGAGCGAGACCAAAGAGAGACCAAAGAGAGACCAGAAAGAGACCAGAGAGAGACCAGAGAGACTTTCAGACTCGCCTTTCAGCAGCAGCATGTCTTGTCTCTCTCCACAGAGTTGGACTGGAGCCGCTTCTCCCTCCGCCGTGTGGCAGCTCACCTTCCTGGACTCAAACTCCCACAATGCAATAGTGGTTCGAGCGTTTCCAGGGGCAACGGCAGTGACAACAGCTGAGAACTCTGAGACCGTGAGGATCCGTGGAGAGCAGGCCTCAGGGAGAGAGAAAGAGTGGGTGAGGCCTCCATGGGGGAGAGGGGTGAAGGCTGGCACAGGTGCATGATGGGAGCTCAGATGAGGGAGGGCGGACCACCAGCAGGAGGCGGCAGGGGAGGAACGAGCAGGGGATCCGTCCCGAGCTTCACTGTACATGGACACCAGGCGAGACTCCCAAGAACTGCAGACAAACAGAGAGGAAGTATTAAAGCTGGGGAACCTGGCTTTGACACCAGAGAACATGTCCAGAGGTCCAAAACCATGTAGCCAGGAAACTTATACTTTATTGTGCAGGGCAGACCAGGGCAGACCAGGGCAGACCCTCGGACCTTTCCCATCCTCTAACTTTATGACTAGGATAAGTGCTATGAAAGTGCTAGAAACGGCAGCAGGTCCTGAGCAGCTCTAAAACAGTTGTGGTTTTGTGCTTAACACTTTTATCCATTTTGCTTTTTTCTACCTGTAAATGTTACTGCAGTACAGTGTTCATGGTTTCATACTGATCCAGACCCGAGCCGAGAGGATTCACGGTCCGAACTAAGCAATTCCATGGGTAAATCCACTGGAGGAAAGCTAATTGTTTTAAAAATGCTAATTCAGCATTTCACTCTGGACCAGAGCAGAGAAAATGGTCCGAACCAAGCGGCTGCTCCACCTCCGCTGCTGAGACCTAAAATTGTAATACTATTGTTAGCTACTTTTAGAATTGTGTATTTATTTGTTTTGTTTGTTTGGACGGATGTGTTTCTGCTGCTCCTGGACACCAGACTTTCTCCTACGGGAATCAATAAAGTATCTATCCATCTTTTTATGTTATACCCCACGGTCTAAGGACAGTGATGATCCAGGACGCTCAACACTCAACAACATCTGCCCCTTTTGGACCAACGGCTGAGGCTGTATGTGTATTTATCGTTGCATTTTCTGTGTTTGAACTGTTTCTCTAATCTGTTTTGGTAAATCGACTACTTTGTAAAGTCCTTCGAGATAACTACTGTTGAATTGAAATTGAATTATTAATGAATCAAAAACATGAATCTATCCCCAATACTTAGTCTTCTTTAGCTTCAGTTCAGCTTTGGATCAATCTAAACAAGAATTTAAATCTAAAACACATTTAATAAAACTAATTAATGTTCTTATTAGTAGTCACCATGTCGTGAATAAAGTTAAAGCAAACACAAAGAAAACAATGTCTATCTTCAAGTTTCCTCCTTCTCTCCTATAAATAAATACCTAATTAATTATTAATCAGGAAAACTTTTTGTTACCCTTTTAACTGAAGTATCTTTCACTCCTGCAGTTCCAGATTGATCCACTCTGTATGGCTGGACTCACTCTAATGTCGTATTGAATTCAAAGTCCCAATGTGGCCCCCGGACCCGTCTGCTGCCATGGCCTGTTATACATTTGTTCTGTTCTCATTAATGAACTAAATGTTATTGTAATAATTCGCTCTTGACAAAATGCCCGCAAAGAAAACACTGTGTTAAATATAAACCAAACCTAAGATATATTAACATATATCTAAATATCACTAAATGTACTTGGATCATTTGCACGCTCTGATTGGTTGATTTGCGGTCTGATGTTTTCCCATCTCGGACCGTTACCATGACAATTGGTCCGTAGCGGTAAAGAAAGAATGAGCGAGGACTTCAAAGAGCCAGAGGAAGTAATAACAGCAAATAACGACGAAAACACAACTCCTAACAGTCAAGAAGAGATTGACAACTTCGTTACAGATCAGAAAGGTAAAAACACGGTTAGGAAAACGTTAGGAAAAAAAAGTCGGAGATCAATATTTTCATAAATTAAAAATAGTCATATAATACATCTATTAACCTCGCTTGCTCGGTCTGTACAGACTTTCTGATATTTCTCTGTACAGACCTCTCGCTCGTTTAATAAGCCGTTAATATTTTCTGACATTGTAAAACTGAAGACGGCTTTTTGGCTTAATAAAAGAAAAACAATAACCAAAAAAATTGGGTGCATTTCTCATTGTGACCCTGAAGACTATAATTGCCCACCTCTGCTGGAGTCTAAATGCTAAAAGCATTACAAAAATCTTGTTTTCTACAGTCCTGGCTTTGTGCTCATTTGCATTCAGCACTTTGGCGTTAACATCCTCCACCTAGACAGATCAATCGCCCTCACTGCTTCAACACTGAACATCTGTGATCACTGATCGCTGAGAGTCTGCTTCTCCAGGCTTTACAATCTCTCACTCTGCTCCATTATTCCTTTGATGTTTACCGGTCACTGTTGAGGTCCAGTCCCAGAGCAGAGAGGCAGAAAGAGGAGCTGGCCACCGAGTCCGGGTCCCTGAGCTGAGGCTGGAGTGGGGGTCTCCTGGGGCTCGCCACACACCGCAACTGTCCTGGAAAAACCCTGGAAATAAAAAGTTATATGAAGTTTGTTTTTGCAATCTCACAGTCACTCTCTTTGGCACAACATCCATCGATCCAAACGCTGCGGAAGTGAGCGCTGGAGTCAGACAGAGAAAATTTGTGTCTGGAACATTCTGGCAGTGGAAATTAACGATATATGTAATGAGGTGCTTTTTCTCACAAGCTTTGAGACGTTATCAAATGAGGATCCGCAAAGATGAAAGTGAAGATCGAGGATCAGGAAATAGAGTTGTTGCTTTAGAGATATCGTAGAAGGAGATGGAGGCAAGACAACAGTAACTTAACTTGTGAAGGTTAATGGGATTTTAGCTGCATTTATCAACATCAGGTACAAGCTAAAGTGCAAAGAAGTCCTCTCACATTAGTCCTGGTCTCAGGTCTCTGTCCTGAAGTCCTCTCACATTAGTCCTGGTCTCAGGTCTCTGTCCTGAAGTCCTCTCACATTAGTCCTGGTCTCAGGTCTCTGTACTGAAGTCCTCTCACATTAGTCCTGGTCTCAGGTCTCTGTCCTGAAGTCCTCTCACATTAGTCCTGGTCTCAGGTCTCTGTCCTGAAGTCCTCTCACATTAGTCCTGGTCTCAGGTCTCTGTACTGAAGTCCTCTCACATTAGTCCTGGTCTCAGGTCTCTGTCCTGAAGTCCTCTCACATTAGTCCTGGTCTCAGGTCTCTGTACTGAAGTCCTCTCACATTAGTCCTGGTCTCAGGTCTCTGTACTGAAGTCCTCTCACATTAGTCCTGGTCTCAGGTCTCTGTACTGAAGTCCTCTCACATTAGTCCTGGTCTCAGTCCTGAAGTCCTCTCTCATTAGTCCTGGTCTCAGTCCTGAAGTCCTCTCTCATTAGTCCTGGTCTCTGTCCTGAAGTCCTCTCTCATTAGTCCTGGTCTCAGTCCTGAAGTCATCTCACATTAGTCTTGGTCTCAGATCTCATTCCTGTGGCTCAGAGAATAGACTAAGTAAAAATCTCTTCATGGCCTTGTATTACATACAGCCAGGGGTGCACAAAACTAGTACGCAGGTCCGCATGTGCGACAAAATGTGCGTAATTAATATAGACCAGTCCTTCTCCAGTAGTGGGGCGCTCCCCTAGGGGGGCGAGGTGCAATGCCGGGGGAGGGGGGGCGCGTGACCACACCGCACTATTTTGTTTGTCTGACCCCGGAGCAACTTCTGCTGCTTTGTAATGACAGCGGCTCCCTCCTCCAGCGGCTCCCTCCTCCAGCGGCTCCCTCCTCCAGCGGCTCCCTCCTCCAGCGGCTCCCACCTCCAGCGGCTCCCACCTCCAGCGGCTCCCTCCTCCAGCGGCTCCCTCCTCCAGCGGCTCCCTCCTCCAGCGGCTCCCTCCTCCAGCGGCTCCCTCCTCCAGCGGCTCCCACCTCCAGCGGCTCCCACCTCCAGCGGCTCCCTCCTCCAGCGGCTCCCTCCTCCAGCGGCTCCCACCTCCACCGGCTCCCACCTCCAGCGGCTCCCACCTCCAGCGGCTCCCTCCTCCAGCGGCTCCCTCCTCCAGTGGCTCCCTCCTCCAGCGGCTCCCACCTCCAGCGGCTCCCACCTCCAGCGGCTCCCACCTCCAGCGGCTCCCTCCTCCAGCGGCTCCCTCCTCCAGCGGCTCCCACCTCCAGCGGCTCCCTCCTCCAGCGGCTCCCTCCTCCAGCGGCTCCCACCTCCAGCGGCTCCCACCTGCAGTGGCTCACAGGCTGCTGGAGGTGGGAGCCGCTGGAGGCGCAGCCGTAATGTGATCATAATGTTCCTGTCTATGTACCCATAGACGCGCGACAAGCATTCCTTCTTGTAGCCAGTGTAAACAAGCATAAACAAGTATAAAAGTATACATTCTCAATAAAGAACCATGCAAGTAATGGGGTGAGTACCAAACACCATCTCCTGTTACATCTGAGTACCATGTGCACCCTGGGCCCTGACTATAGCATCAAATGTATTTTATTATACTGTGATACATAGAAGTATTAATCTTTACTTGTTGCTTTTATGAAGCATTTTCAGCTGTCTGAGAAACAGCAGCTACTTACAGTATATTGTATTTATTCTGTGCTTCTTATATGCTCTTACTACTGTCCTGTATGTGCGCTGCAACATTGAAATTTCCCCACTGTGGGACAAATAAAAGGTTCTCTTATCTTAATGAACCTAAAAGCAAAGACAGACAGATCTGTGCTCTTGAATGCATCGGTTGGCCTTGTCTCAGTAGGATCCTGGTTACAAGTTAAGGTAAACAGATGGAAATGCGGTTCTTTCACGAGTTCACATGTGTTTGTCTTCACTTAATTAAACTGGACTGGAAAATTGGTTTTCCAGTCCAGTTTATGTAGTGTGTTTTTAAACAGACTACATAGAGTTGTTCAGGTCGACTCACCTGAGAGGAGTGGATTAGTGAAGACACTGACCTGAAGTAGTGGTTGAGGTCGATGGCGGTGGCCGTGTGAGCGTCTGTGAAGGCCACAGCAGTGTTCAGGTCGGAGGACACTTGGAGGAGGAGGAAGGAGGCAGGAGGAGAGAGAGAGGACGGAGGAGACCAGTCCTCCTCCTGAAGACCAGAGTCCAGGTACCGAGGCAGATCCACCGAGGCCAAGACCGATCCATCGGACAGAGAGAGGACCGCTGGGACACAGGTTAAGGACTGTAGAATATTTAGTTCAATAAATAAATACTGTACTTAAATACAAGGACCAAAGAAACAGGAAATTCATTTAGATGTGATTGTAACAAAGACAGGTTGAGCTGAAAGCACACAGAGGCAACACTTCTCTCCACAACGTTATATTCTATTTTTTGGTGTGCATTCTATGTTCTAATCTATGATTGCCACTAAAACCTGAAGGAGGAAGGAATATCCCTCGTTGCAATTATTGCACTATTTTCTTTCAACCATGTATCATCATCTAGGAAATCATGAAATTCTATATTTAATCTTGAAATGTTTCATCCCCACCGGAAAGGGGAAGGACTCTCTGGTTCTGCCATATATGGAGCCAAAATGACGTCTTTGGCGCCACTTCCTCCTCTTCTTCTTCTTCTTCTTCTTCTTACCTCCTCTTCTCTCTATCTGTATGTACTTTGTGCTCATTGTGGGAATACTGTTTTTAACTGTGGCCGTTTACAGTGTATTGATTTGTATCCTTGCCCTGATGGACTGTGCAATACTGAGGCATATTCTTGTGTTGGTGTTCGACAACTGTGACACTGAGTCTCTCTCTCTCTCCCTCTCTGGTCTCTCCCTGCATGGTCTCTCCCTGCATGGTCTCTCTCTGTGCTAGAAACCTGGATGGAGCTAAACACTTATCCAGGTCTGATGAAAGAGGAACACTTCTGTAAAATTGTTAAAAACTAATAAAAGACTCTTGAGTTTTATAGTTTAGCAAAATGAAAGACACGAGATACGTCCAAAACCCTCTGTGACCATGAGTAATGTCTGATTATCTGATTTGCTGAGTCTTACTAAAATACAGGGAGTCAGCAAAAACGACAAAGCCTCAGCCAGAATTCTAAATAATTATCACCGCGGTCAAGTGCCAAACCCAAATGGACATAATTAAGTTTACTGCAACACGTCTCCCATTGAAAACACATTTTTATAGTGACCCTTGGATTTAGATCACATACACACAGCACTTGTATCTAAATTTCTTTCATAAAGTCTTGCGTCTGGCCAAACCAGCGCACAGAGACCATGAGGACAAACACATGCATGTGATTTGTGTTGCTCTACATCAGTCCTCTGGCCCGTACTGTCCTCTACACTGCTCCATAGACTACACAGGGAGAGCATCAGAAGCCGCGGACCTGCGCGCACGGCCTGTGGACATACACCCAAATAATGTTACGTGCATTTGCGCGCTGTTAACGCCTAGTGTGGAAATTCCCCGTTAGAGAAATAACTTTGAGCCTGAAGTGAAAGACCTTCTAGATCAATTATTAGCATCGCTTCGGCGTGTTGAAAATAATTAGAACATATTTTAAAGACTAGTGCAGTAGTTAGTGAGAGGAAAGAGAGGGATGGAGCTTCAGTCCTGGTTCTACTGCCTCAGTTCTGGGTCTACAGCCTAAGTCTTGGGTCTACAGTTTCAGTCCTAGGTCTACAGCCTCAGTGCTAAGTCTACAGCCTCAGTCCTTGGTCTACAGCCTCAGTTCTGGATCTACAGCCTCAGTCCTGGATCTACAGCCTCAGTCCTGGGTCTACAGCCTCAGTCCTGGATCTACAGCCTCAGTCCTGGATCTACAGAATCAGTCCAGGGTCTACAGCCTCAGTCCTGGATGTACAGCCTCAGTCCTGGGTCTACAGCCTCAGTCCTGGATCTACAGAATCAGTCCAGGGTCTACAGCCTCAGTCCTGGATGTACAGCCTCAGTCCTGGATCTACAGCCTCAGTCCTGGATCTACAGCCTCAGTCCTGGATCTACAGCCTCAGTCCTGGATCTACAGCCTCAGTCCTGGATCTACAGAATCAGTCCAGGGTCTACAGAATCAGTCCAGGGTCTACAGCCTCAGTCCTGGATGTACAGCCTCAGTCCTGGGTCTACAGCCTCAGTCCTGGATCTACAGAATCAGTCCAGGGTCTACAGCCTCAGTCCTGGATGTACAGCCTCAGTCCTGGGTCTACAGCCTCAGTCCTGGATCTACAGAATCAGTCCAGGGTCTACAGCCTCAGTCCTGGATCTACAGCCTCAGTCCTGGATCTACAGCCTCAGTCCTGGGTCTACAGCCTCAGTCCTGAATCTACAGCCTCAGTCCTGGGTCTACAGCCTCAGTCCTGGGTCTACAGCCTCAGTCCTGGATCTACAGCCTCAGTCCTGGGTCTACAGCCTCAGTCCTGAATCTACAGCCTCAGTCCTGGGTCTACAGCCTCAGTCCTGGGTCTACAGCCTCAGTCCTGGATCTACAGCCTCAGTCCTGGACAGTAGAAGGATACAGATGAAGCCACTGGCTGTGACACAGAAGAGTGTCTCTGAACACACACAGTGATGGACCACAGTCTCTGATCTTCTGTCTTCAGGCTGAATTCTAAAACAGGACTCAACGTTCAGCTGCTGCTCCGTCTGCTGCAACTGAAGCCGCAGGATCCACTCAGAGTTCACCAAAACACAGCCACAGGCGGAGCTCCAGGACAAGACATGGAGGGACTGCAGCTCAGAGACACCTGGAACAAGGACGAATAAGAACATCTAAAATTGTGATTGTAATTGTTATTATTGCCTTTCGATCTCTGTTAAAGACATCAGGTGCTAATGTGATAATCTATGACACCAATGGCTCAGCAGATTAGTCCTCAGGATCCACCATATATGCATGAATAGTTTTTATTCATTCATTTGATATGGACACAATAGTTATAGCCTGGCCTTAGCCATCCGTAAACTCCAGTCAATTATTATTCCCCTTGGTATGAAATGAAATGTGTACAATGGTGTGGCAAGACCAGGCTACAATAGTTACAGTGGACCATGGATGTGTGATATTGTGTGGCGGTTTCAGTCTCTCTCCCTCTCTCTGGGGTCTCTCACTCTCTGGTCTCTCTATGGTCTCTCTCTCTCTCGCTCTCTCTCTGGGGTGTGTCTCTCTCTCTCTGGTCCCTCTCTCTCTCTGGTCTCTCTCTCTCTCTGGTCCCTCTCTCTCTCTGGTCCCTCTCTCTCTCTGGTCCCTCTCTCTCTCTGGTCCCTCTCTCTCTCTGGGGTGTGTCTCTCTCTCTCTGGTCCCTCTCTCTCTCTGGTCCCTCTCTCTCTCTGGTCCCTCTCTCTCTCTGGTCCCTCTCTCTGATACTCACTCTGGTCCTTCTCTCTGATCTTCTGCAGTAGATCTTCAGCAGTAGCTTCACAGACTGGCAGCAGTGAGATGGAGCCAGGTCCCACAGAGACCTCCACCAGCTTCAGCTCCAGCTCTGATCCCACAGCCACAAGCTTGAAGACACGCCTGGGACCAGGGGTGGGACCAGAAGACTCCTGGTCCCTCAAGGTCCGGTCAGTGCCCTGGTCCCACTGAAATCTGACGAGAGAAATCTGAAGTTCAGTGCCAAAGTCACTTCATATGGAGAAATGTGTCCTGACAAATTAGAATGGAATAACATTTTGATGAGATTACGCCCAACAACATAATTGAGTGACCATAGACTGTACACAGATCAACAATGCTAGCCCAATAGGGAAGTGCTCAGTGTGAAGTTTGGCTCCTCTCTCTGGCTCCTATCGACTTACACATACATTTAAACTCCTGTTGACTGTTGCTGTTGAATGCTGACGGGGCCCTCAATCGGCCCAGGACAAAATGGGCGGCCAAGGGAAATGAGGGATCAATCTTCTTTGCATGTTTTTAAAAGAAAATATCACGCAATGCATGGCTTTATGTCCTCCCCCCCCTATTTATGTTGACTTAGTATTTGATCAATGCTAAGTCACTTCGTCCATGTTATGAATGAATTAATGTATTGTTTTTTATGTTTTTTGTTGTTTTTGTAATACATTTGTCTTAACTGGAGGATTAGCAACCACATTGGTGGAAGCTAATGGGGATGCCCAATAAACAAAAACAGAATTTAAATCTGGAGACATTCCCAGGCCAGCTGTGTCCCGATTCTTCCACTGGTCTCCTGGTGTGGCATGCCCAGAACACCTCCCCAGTGAGTAAGTAAGTAAGTAGTAGTAGTAGTAGTAAGTAAGTAAGTAATCTTTATTTATGTACCGCCTTTTCACTGCACATCGGAGTCTCAAAGCGGTTTACAATTGTTATTTTTGGGAGTGGGGCCAGTACAGGAGGCACATGCCAGACCTATTGTACATATTTTTAGTGGTAGGGGAAACTGGAGCACCCGGAGGAAACCTACGCAGACACGGGGAGAACATGCAAACTCCACTCAGAAAGGCCCTGGTCCAACCGGGATTCGAACCCAGGACCTTCTTGCTGAGAGGCGAGAGTGCTATCCACTCAGCCACCGTGCCGCCAGGAAGGTGAGACATGAGGCGTACAGGAAGCATCCCAAAGAGATGCCCAAGCCCCCTCAACTAGCTCCTTTCCAGGTGGAGGAGCAGTGGCTCTACTCCGAGCTCCTCTAGTGTAACTGAGCTCCTATGCCCACCTCTAAGGGAACCAGTTTGGAGATTTATGAACTAAGGACGTGATTTGCATTACATAGATGTTTTATGGCTTGAATGTCAGGTTCCCCAACAGAACCCTGCCTTGTCTTCCACTTCCACCCCCTCTGTGCGGTCAGACCTTATAGATCCATGGGTCAGACTCACTCTTTGAAGCGGCCCTGGACTCGCACCGGCCTGGCCTCTCTGTCCCCGGGGTCCCACACCTCCAGACCCCCGTGGAGACCCACACACGCCAGCAGAGAAGCCCCGGGAGCCAGCGCAGCATCCTGGATCTCTGCTACCCGGGGTCCGAGCGGGTTCTCCGGGATCACAGTCACCTCCAGGCCGTCTGAAGAGGTCATGTCGGCTCCTCAGTGTTCCGGTCAGAGTTTAGAGACTGGGAAACGTTTCGTTAAAAGTAAAAACTAAGCATAAGATAAAGCAATAACAAATGTGTCACGGGGAACTTCCGGGTTCGGAGAGAGTCACATGCTTTGTCAGCTGACTGTAGAGAAGCAGGAAAACATAACAGAACAGGAGACACTAGTTACTGATATTATAATAATAGATCCATTGTGGTCACTGAGACATTTTATGTTTCTTATATTTCACAGACAATCCTCAAATTGTAGTTTAACTTGTCACCACTTAAATATGATAACTATATAAATTGATAACCTGCACTCTGTGACATGTCTATTGTGAGCATATACTTAGATTATTAGGAAAACTAAATGCATGCCTTATTATAATTATCGTTAACTACGTGTCTTACCTTCACACTATTGTGTAGTTTCTGGTCACTGAAAATGACATTAAAATATTCTACATAAACCCATGGATCAGCCATTTCAATTATCTGTAATCATCCAACGACAAAAATAACCTTGTTTTGTAAAAGTGACACACGACATCAATCTTCATATTTATTATCGGTGATCTGCTACTGGTGCCTGGAAACGTGCGGTTGTCGCTGATTGGCTGCTGCTCTGTGTACATCCTGATGCTAAAGCTAACGCCGATGCTAACGTCTGTGTTTGATCGGTTAGACCAGATAAACCCCTGACTTTGTCCACATGTTACAGTGTGTTCCCGCTTCATTCGGGCTCTGACCTCTGACCTCTGACCTCCTCTGGATCATGGACCGCGGCAGAAGATGGAGCTAGTGTCGAGTCTCTTCTCTTTCACTTTGGGCAAAGTCCTACATCTGTCCGGACGCGATCTAAACTGGAATGTTGTGAAAACTAAGAGGATGGAGGAGAAAGCTTTAGAAGTCTATGGTACGTGTGTTTTATTTATGATCATTTCTTTATCCAGACTCTAGGTCCACAGTAAACATTAGAGACATGGTGGATATACAGATACCAACAGACAAGTTCCCTGAGACTGAGACAGAGACTGAGGCAGAGACTGAAGCAGAGACTGAGGCAGAGACTGAGGCAGAGACTGAGGCAGAGACTGGGGCAGAGACTGAGGCAGAGACTGGGGCAGAGACTGAGGCAGAGACTGAGGCAGAGACTGAGGCAGAGACTGAAGCAGAGACTGAGGCAGAGACTGAGGCAGAGACTGGGGCAGAGACTGAGGCAGAGACTGGGGCAGAGACTGGGGCAGAGACTGGGGCAGAGACTGAAGCAGAGACTGAAGCAGAGACTGAGGCAGAGACTGAGGCAGAGACTGAGGCAGAGACTGAGGCAGAGACTGGGGCAGAGACTGAAGCAGAGACTGGGGCAGAGACTGAGGCAGAGACTGAGGCAGAGACTGAGGCAGAGACTGAGGCAGAGACTGAAGCAGAGACTGAGGCAGAGACTGAGGCAGAGACTGAGGCAGAGACTGAGGCAGAGACAAAGACAGAGACTGAGGCAGAGACTGAGGCAGAGACTGAGGCAGAGACTGAGGCAGAGACTGAGGCAGAGACTGAAGCAGAGACTGAAGCAGAGACTGAGGCAGAGACTGAGGCAGAGACTGAGGCAGAGACTGAGGCAGAGACTGAGGCAGAGACTGGGGCAGAGACTGAGGCAGAGACTGGGGCAGAGACTGGGGCAGAGACTGGGGCAGAGACTGGGGCAGAGACTGGGGCAGAGACTGGGGCAGAGACTGGGGCAGAGACTGAAGCAGAGACTGAGGCAGAGACTGAAGCAGAGACTGAGGCAGAGACTGAGGCAGAGACTGAGGCAGAGACTGAGGCAGAGACAAAGACAGAGACTGAGGCAGAGACTGAGGCAGAGACTGAGGCAGAGACTGAGGCAGAGACTGAGGCAGAGACTGAAGCAGAGACTGAAGCAGAGACTGAGGCAGAGACTGAGGCAGAGACTGAGGCAGAGACTGAGGCAGAGACTGAGGCAGAGACTGAGGCAGAGACTGGGCAGAGACTGAGGCAGAGACTGGGGCAGAGACTGGGGCAGAGACTGGGGCAGAGACTGGGGCAGAGACTGGGGCAGAGACTGGGGCAGAGACTGAGGCAGAGACTGGGGCAGAGACTGGGGCAGAGACTGAGGCAGAGACTGGGGCAGAGACTGAGGCAGAGACTGAGGCAGAGACTGAGGCAGAGACTGGGGCAGAGACTGAGGCAGAGACTGAGGCAGAGACTGAAGCAGAGACTGAGGCAGAGACTGAGGCAGAGACTGAGGCAGAGACTGGGGCAGAGACTGAGGCAGAGACTGAGGCAGAGACTGGAGCAGAGACTGAGGCAGAGACTGAGGCAGAGACTGGGGCAGAGACTGGGGCAGAGACTGAGGCAGAGACTGAGGCAGAGACTGAGGCAGAGACTGAGGCAGAGACTGGGGCAGAGACTGAGGCAGAGACTGAGGCAGAGACTGAGGCAGAGACTGGGGCAGAGACTGAGGCAGAGACTGAGGCAGAGACTGAGGCAGAGACTGGGGCAGAGACTGAGGCAGAGACTGAGGCAGAGACTGAGGCAGAGACTGAGGCAGAGATCGAGGCAGAGACTGAAGCAGAGACTGAGGCAGAGACTGGGGCAGAGACTGAAGCAGAGACTGAGGCAGAGACTGAAGCAGAGACTGAGGCAGAGACTGAGGCAGAGACTGAGGCAGAGACTGAGGCAGAGACAAAGACAGAGACTGAGGCAGAGACTGAGGCAGAGACTGAGGCAGAGACTGAGGCAGAGACTGAGGCAGAGACTGAGGCAGAGACTGAAGCAGAGACTGAAGCAGAGACTGAGGCAGAGACTGAGGCAGAGACTGAGGCAGAGACTGAGGCAGAGACTGAGGCAGAGACTGGGGCAGAGACTGAGGCAGAGACTGGGGCAGAGACTGGGGCAGAGACTGGGACAGAGACTGGGGCAGAGACTGGGGCAGAGACTGGGGCAGAGACTGGGGCAGAGACTGGGGCAGAGACTGGGGCAGAGACTGGGGCAGAGACTGAGGCAGAGACTGGGGCAGAGACTGAGGCAGAGACTGAGGCAGAGACTGAGGCAGAGACTGGGGCAGAGACTGAGGCAGAGACTGAGGCAGAGACTGAAGCAGAGACTGAGGCAGAGACTGAGGCAGAGACTGAGGCAGAGACTGGGGCAGAGACTGAGGCAGAGACTGAGGCAGAGACTGGAGCAGAGACTGAGGCAGAGACTGAGGCTGGCAGAGACTGGGGCAGAGACTGGGGCAGAGACTGAGGCAGAGACTGAGGCAGAGACTGAGGCAGAGACTGAGGCAGAGACTGGGGCAGAGACTGAGGCAGAGACTGAGGCAGAGACTGAGGCAGAGACTGGGGCAGAGACTGAGGCAGAGACTGAGGCAGAGACTGAGGCAGAGACTGGGGCAGAGACTGAGGCAGAGACTGAGGCAGAGACTGAGGCAGAGACTGGGGCAGAGACTGAGGCAGAGACTGAGGCAGAGACTGGGGCAGAGACTGGGGCAGAGACTGGGGCAGAGACTGAGGCAGAGACTGAGGCAGAGACTGGGGCAGAGACTGAGGCAGAGACTGGGGCAGAGACTGAGGCAGAGACTGAGGCAGAGACTGAGGCAGAGACTGGGGCAGAGACTGAGGCAGAGACTGAGGCAGAGACTGAAGCAGAGACTGAGGCAGAGACTGAGGCAGAGACTGAGGCAGAGACTGAGGCAGAGACTGAGGCAGAGACTGAAGCAGAGACTGAGGCAGAGACTGAGGCAGAGACTGGGGCAGAGACTGGGGCAGAGACTGAGGCAGAGACTGAGGCAGAGACTGGGGCAGAGACTGGGGCAGAGACTGGGGCAGAGACTGGGGCAGAGACTGAGGCAGAGACAGAGACAGAGACTGAAGCAGAGACTGAGGCAGAGACTGAGGCAGAGACTGAGGCAGAGACTGAAGCAGAGACTGAGGCAGAGACTGAGGCAGAGACTGAGGCAGAGACTGAGGCAGAGACTGAAGCAGAGACTGGGGCAGAGACTGAGGCAGAGACTGAGGCAGAGACTGGGGCAGAGACTGAGGCAGAGACTGAGGCAGAGACTGAGGCAGAGACTGAGGCAGAGACTGGGGCAGAGACTGGGGCAGAGACTGGGGCAGAGACTGAGGCAGAGACTGGGGCAGAGACTGAGGCAGAGACTGAGGCAGAGACTGAAGCAGAGACTGAGGCAGAGACTGAGGCAGAGACTGAGGCAGAGACTGAAGCAGAGACTGGGGCAGAGACTGAGGCAGAGACTGAGGCAGAGACTGGGGCAGAGACTGAGGCAGAGACTGAGGCAGAGACTGAGGCAGAGACTGGGGCAGAGACTGAGGCAGAGACTGAGGCAGAGACTGAGGCAGAGACTGGGGCAGAGACTGAGGCAGAGACTGAGGCAGAGACTGGGGCAGAGACTGGGGCAGAGACTGGGGCAGAGACTGGGGCAGAGACTGAGGCAGAGACTGAGGCAGAGACTGGGGCAGAGACTGAGGCAGAGACTGGGGCAGAGACTGAGGCAGAGACTGAGGCAGAGACTGAGGCAGAGACTGGGGCAGAGACTGAGGCAGAGACTGAGGCAGAGACTGAAGCAGAGACTGAGGCAGAGACTGAGGCAGAGACTGAGGCAGAGACTGGGGCAGAGACTGAGGCAGAGACTGAGGCAGAGACTGAGGCAGAGACTGGAGCAGAGACTGAGGCAGAGACTGAGGCAGAGACTGGGGCAGAGACTGGGGCAGAGACTGATGCAGAGACTGAGGCAGAGACTGAGGCAGAGACTGAGGCAGAGACTGGGGCAGAGACTGAGGCAGAGACTGAGGCAGAGACTGAGGCAGAGACTGGGGCAGAGACTGAGGCAGAGACTGAGGCAGAGACTGAGGCAGAGACTGGGGCAGAGACTGAGGCAGAGACTGAGGCAGAGACTGAGGCAGAGACTGGGGCAGAGACTGAGGCAGAGACTGAGGCAGAGATGGGCAGAGACTGGGGCAGAGACTGGGGCAGAGACTGGGGCAGAGACTGGGCAGAGACTGAGGCAGAGACTGAGGCAGAGACTGGGGCAGAGACTGAGGCAGAGACTGATGGGGCAGAGACTGAGGCAGAGACTGAGGCAGAGACTGAGGCAGAGACTGGGGCAGAGACTGAGGCAGAGACTGAGGCAGAGACTGAAGCAGAGACTGAGGCAGAGACTGAGGCAGAGACTGAGGCAGAGACTGAGGGCAGAGACTGAGGCAGAGACTGAGGCAGAGACTGGAGCAGAGACTGAGGCAGAGACTGAGGCAGAGACTGGGGCAGAGACTGGGGCAGAGACTGAGGCAGAGACTGGGGCAGAGACTGAGGCAGAGACTGAGGCAGAGACTGAGGCAGAGACTGAAGCAGAGACTGAGGCAGAGACTGAGGCAGAGACTGGGGCAGAGACTGGGGCAGAGACTGGGGCAGAGACTGAGGCAGAGACTGAGGCAGAGACTGGGGCAGAGACTGGGGCAGAGACTGGGGCAGAGACTGGGGCAGAGACTGAGGCAGAGACTGGGGCAGAGACTGAGGCAGAGACTGGGGCAGAGACTGGAGCAGAGACTGAGGCAGAGACTGAGGCAGAGACTGAGGCAGAGACTGGGGCAGAGACTGGGGCGGAGACTGGGGCAGAGACTGAGGCAGAGACTGAGGCAGAGACTGAGGCAGAGACTGAGGCAGAGACTGAGGCAGAGACTGAGGCAGAGACTGAGGCAGAGACTGAGGCAGAGACTGAGGCAGAGACTGAGGCAGAGACTGAGGCAGAGACTGAGGCAGAGACTGGGGCAGAGACTGGGGCAGAGACTGAGGCAGAGACTGAGGCAGAGACTGAGGCAGAGACTGAGGCAGAGATCGAGGCAGAGACTGAGGCAGAGATCGAGGCAGAGACTGAGGCAGAGACTGAGGCAGAGATCGAGGCAGAGACTGAGGCAGAGATCGAGGCAGAGACTGAGGCAGAGACTGAGGCAGAGACTGAGGCAGAGACTGAGGCAGAGACTGAGGCAGAGACTGAGGCAGAGACTGAGGCAGAGACTGAGGCAGAGACTGAGGCAGAGATCGAGGCAGAGACTGAGGCAGAGACTGAGGCAGAGACTGAGGCAGAGACTGAGGCAGAGACTGAGGCAGAGATCGAGGCAGAGACTGAGGCAGAGATCGAGGCAGAGACTGAGGCAGAGACTGAGGCAGAGACTGAGGCAGAGACTGAGGCAGAGACTGGGGCAGAGATCGAGGCAGAGACTGAGGCAGAGACTGAGGCAGAGACTGAGGCAGAGACTGGGGCAGAGACTGAGGCAGAGACTGAGGCAGAGACTGAAGCAGAGACTGAGGCAGAGACTGGGGCAGAGACTGAGGCAGAGACTGAGGCAGAGACTGAAGCAGAGACTGGGGCAGAGACTGGGGCAGAGACTGAGGCAGAGACTGAAGCAGAGACTGAGGCAGAGACTGAGGCAGAGACTGAGGCAGAGACTGAAGCAGAGACTGAGGCAGAGACTGAGGCAGAGACTGAGGCAGAGACTGAAGCAGAGACTGGGGCAGAGACTGGGGCAGAGACTGAGGCAGAGACTGAAGCAGAGACTGAGGCAGAGACTGAGGCAGAGACTGAGGCAGAGACTGGGGCAGAGACTGAGGCAGAGACTGAGGCAGAGACTGAAGCAGAGACTGAGGCAGAGACTGAGGCAGAGACTGAGGCAGAGACTGGGGCAGAGACTGAGGCAGAGACTGAGGCAGAGACTGAGGCAGAGACTGAGGCAGAGACTGAGGCAGAGACTGAGGCAGAGACTGGGGCAGAGACTGGGGCAGAGACTGGGGCAGAGACTGAGGCAGAGACTGAGGCAGAGACTGAGGCAGAGACTGAGGCAGAGACTGGGGCAGAGACTGAGGCAGAGACTGAAGCAGAGACTGAGGCAGAGACTGAGGCAGAGACTGAGGCAGAGACTGAGGCAGAGACTGGGGCAGAGACTGAGGCAGAGACTGGAGCAGAGACTGGGGCAGAGACTGAAGCAGAGACTGAGGCAGAGACTGAGGCAGAGACTGAGGCAGAGACTGGAGCAGAGACTGAGGCAGAGACTGAGGCAGAGACTGAGGCAGAGACTGAGGCAGAGACTGGGGCAGATACTGAGGCAGAGACTGAGGCAGAGACTGAGGCAGAGACTGAGGCAGAGACTGAGGCAGAGACTGAGGCAGAGACTGGGGCAGAGACTGAGGCAGAGACTGAGGCAGAGACTGAGGCAGAGACTGAGGCAGAGACTGAGGCAGAGACTGGGGCAGAGACTGAGGCAGAGACTGAGGCAGAGACTGAGGCAGAGACTGAGGCAGAGACTGGGGCAGAGACTGAGGCAGAGACTGAGGCAGAGACTGAGGCAGAGACTGAGGCAGAGACTGAGGCAGAGACTGAGGCAGAGACTGGGGCAGAGACTGGGGCAGAGACTGGGGCAGAGACTGAGGCAGAGACTGAGGCAGAGACTGGGGCAGAGACTGAGGCAGAGACTGGGGCAGAGACTGAGGCAGAGACTGGGGCAGAGACTGAGGCAGAGACTGGGGCAGAGACTGAGGCAGAGACTGAGGCAGAGACTGAGGCAGAGACTGAGGCAGAGACTGAGGCAGAGACTGAGGCAGAGACTGAGGCAGAGACTCTTTGAAATAGAACAGTGTAATTATGACTTTTATAATCACTGTGTTGAAACAGTGACTCAACGTTTGTCATGGTTCCTCAAATTATAGCTTAGTTCTCGCCTTGTTTTCAATTGTAAGTAACGTAACCCTTCCTGAATGTGAAAGCCGGATCGTGTCAGACCTCTGAAGCTAAGCAGGGCAGGGCCTGGTTAGTACTCTGATGGGAGACCTCTGGGAACAGCAGGCGCCACATTGGGGCGGCTGCAAATTACCAAATTTTGGTTGTGTTCTTAGGCAAGACACTTCACTCACATTAGAATGAGTCTAGTGTGTGAGTGAGTGGTTGGTGGTGGTGGGAGAGTCCGATGGCACAGGCTGGTTGATTTGCTTCTGACAGTGTTCTCCAGGGCAGCTGTGGCTACAGTAGTAGTATTTCACCTCTGTGTTTGGAGTAAATGAATAATGATGTGATTATAAGTGTCTTCGAGTGTCCAAAAAAAGCGTGGGTATAATACTGATTTCTTATTATTATCATAGTTGCTATCATTATCATTATAACATTATAACATTAATCTTTATGAAAGAAAGAAGTGTTATTCAAGATTTGTTTATGGCCCATCAGTAAAAAGAAGAGTCCATAAAACAACATAAAGTACATAAAACAATATTCTGCACATGTATTCCTGGTTTCTAGCAGTGAACAGAAACTGTGTGTAACAGATAGATACTTTATTGATCGTCGTAGGAGAAATTAAGTGTCCAGCAGCAGCAAAAACAAATTTGATCATTCTAAAAAGCTAGCAATAGTAATAATCAGCAAGCAGAGGTGGAGTAGCCTCTGGGTGGAGTAGCCTCTGGGTGGAGTAGCCTCTGGGTGGAGTAGCCTCTGGGTGGAGCAGGACGGGTCACAGCAGCAGAGGTGGAGTAGCCGCTGGGTGGAGCAGGACTGGTCACAGCAGCAGAGGTGGAGTAGCCTCTGGGTGGAGTAGCCTCTGGGTGGAGTAGGACGGGTCACAGCGGCAGAGGTGGAGTAGCCTCTGGGTGGAGCAGGACGGGTCACAGCAGCAGAGGTGCAGTAGCCTCTGGGTGGAGCAGGACGGGTCACAGCAGCAGAGGTGGAGTAGTCTCTGGGTGGAGCAGGACGGGTCACAGCAGCAGAGGTGGAGTAGCCTCTGGGTGGAGCAGGACAGGTCACAGCAGCAGAGGTGGAGTAGCCTCTGGGTGGAGCAGGACGGGTCACAGCAGCAGAGGTGGAGTAGCCGCTGGGTGGAGCAGGACGGGTCACAGCAGCAGAGGTGGTGTAGCCTCTGGGTGGAGCAGGACAGGTCACAGCAGCAGAGGTGGAGTAGCCTCTGGGTGGAGCAGGACGGGTCACAGCAGCAGAGGTGGAGTAGCCTCTGGGTGGAGCAGGACGGGTCACAGCAGCAGAGGTGGAGTAGCCTCTGGGTGGAGCAGGATGGGTCACAGCAGCAGAGGTGGAGTAGCCTCTGGGTCGAGCAGGACAGGTCACAGCAGCAGAGGTGGAGTAGCCTCTGGGTGGAGTAGCCTCTGGGTGGAGCAGGACGGGTCACAGCAGCAGAGGTGCAGTAGCCTCTGGGTGCAGTAGCCTCTGGGTGGAGCAGGACGGGTCACAGCAGCAGAGGTGCAGTAGCCTCTGGGTGGAGCAGGACGGGTCACAGCAGCAGAGGTGCAGTAGCCTCTGGGTGGAGCAGCACGGGTCACAGCAGCAGAGGTGCAGTAGCCTCTGGGTGGAGCAGGACGGGTCACAGCAGCAGAGGTGCAGTAGCCTCTGGGTGGAGCAGCACGGGTCACAGCAGCAGAGGTGCAGTAGCCTCTGGGTGGAGCAGCACGGGTCACAGCAGCAGAGGTGCAGTAGCCTCTGGGTGGAGCAGGACGGGTCACAGCAGCAGAGGTGCAGTAGCCTCTGGGTGGAGCAGGACGGGTCACAGCAGCAGAGGTGCAGTAGCCTCTGGGTGGAGCAGCACGGGTCACAGCAGCAGAGGTGCAGTAGCCTCTGGGTGGAGCAGGACGGGTCACAGCAGCAGAGGTGCAGTAGCCTCTGGGTGGAGCAGCACGGGTCACAGCAGCAGAGGTGCAGTAGCCTCTGGGTGGAGCAGCACGGGTCACAGGGTGGAGAAGCCGCTTGGTCTGGACCAGTGCAAAACCATGAACACTGTACTGCAGCAACATAGAAAAAGCAATAAAAACTGTAAAGCACAAAACAACAACAGTTTCAGAGACACTTAGGACTTGCTGTCGTTCCTGCGCATTCAAAAGTAAATTAAAGTAAGGAATTACATTTGTTTTGATTAGTTTCATCACAAAAGGCTCGAAGATGAAGGATTCTGATCAGAACAAAGCAACACAAATGTCTTCATTTTTCTAATTATCTGAAATCCTTTATTTTCAATCTGCAGTAATTTCTATTTGTTTATATCGACTGCCTTCTTTTATTTTGCGTTTGGTTCAAAGACTCAGATCAATGGAAGGTAGATGATGGTTAATTAAAGTTTTAAGATTAAGATTAAGAGATCCTTTATTTGTCCCACAGTGGGGAAATTTGTTGTATCACCATCATACTGGACGTTTATTATTATTATTATTATTTTTATTCATATTTAAAAAAGCAGTGTTAGGTGCACGTGACTGAAGACAGACATGGAACCAAATGTATGTGAATGACATCCGTTTGTTTTAGATTCTGCCAAAATATACTTTGTTTCTTCTGGACTTGTTGCTGGTGTCTTCTCAGTGAACTGCTTTTTATTTGTTGCTGGTTCCTTCTGACCAGTCTACTTCCTGGTTGCTGGTCTTCCCTTATTGTACTGGCTGTTGTTCTTGATTGTTTCTTCTAACCTTCTAACTTCCTAGTTCTAACTTCCTAGTTCTAACTTCCTGGTTCTAACTTCCTGGTTCTAACTTCCTGGTTCTAACTTCCTGGTTCTAACTTCCTGGTTCTAACTTCCTGGTTCTAACTTCCTGGTTCTAACTTCCTGGTTCTAACTTGATTCTTGTTCCTGGTTCTAACTTCCTTTCCTGGTTCCTCTGCAGATGTGATCCGCTCCATCCGTGACCCAGAGAAGCCCAACACCCTGGAGGAGCTGGAGGTGGTGACAGAGAAGTGTGTGGAGGTGCAGCAGCTGGGGGACGAAGAGTTCCTCATCATCATCAGGTTCTCCCCCACGGTGCCTCACTGCTCCCTGGCCACCCTCATTGGTCTGTGCCCCCACATCTGCAACCACAGACACACACACACACACACATATTCAACTTATTGCGATACAACAAGTTTTGTGATACAATTCTGGGATGTACTTCATGTTCTCATTATTCACAATATTCTCATTATTACAAACATGAGACTCAACTTAGATTTACTATGGTCCCACATTAAGTGAAGTATTACTACTACTACTACTGCTACTGCGTCTGCTACTGCTACTGGGTCTACTACTGCTACTGCGTCTACTACTACTGCGTCTACTACTACTACTACTACTACTACTACGGCTACTGCGTCGCTACTACTACAATCGCGTCTACTACTGCCGCTACTGCTACTGTGTCTACTACTACTGCGTCTACTACTACTACTACTACTGCTACTACTGCTACTGCGTCTACTACTGCTACTGCTACTACTGCTACTGCTACTACTGCTACTGCTACTACTGCTACTGCGTCTACTGCTAATAAAGCTACTGCGTCTACTACTACTGCTACTGTGTCTACTGCTACTGTGTCTACTGCTACTGCTACTGCTACTGCTACTACTGCTACTAAAGCTTCTGCGTCTACTACTACTGCTACTGTGTCTACTACTACTGCTACTAAAGCTTCTGCGTCTACTACTACTGCTACTGTGTCTACTACTACTGCTACTGTGTCTACTACTACTGCTACTGCTACTACTGCTACTGTGTCTACTACTACTGCGTCTACTACTACTACTGCTAATATGTCTACTGCTACTGTGTCTACTGCTACTGTGTCTACTACTACTGCGTCTACTACTACTACTACTGCTACTGCGTCTACTACTACTGCTACTGCGTTTACTACTACTGCTTCTGCGTCTACTACTGCTATTGCTGCTACTGCGTCTGCTACTACTTCTACCACTTGAATATTAACACTAAAAAGATTGAACAAAAGTTAAAATACAGATCAGAGGACTCCTGTCACGGCGTCTTGTGCAAAATGGCTCCTGACTCTAAAAACACGTAAGATTGAGGAACACCGCCTAATCTGCTCAAAGCTGTGAGAAGTCAGTCTAACATGTTCTGCCTCTTTAAAAACTCTATCCTCCTTGTTAACTGGTAAAAAAACCTGCAAAAAATGGATGGATTAAATAAGAGGTAGTAATTGCTTGAATCGAGTGGTTTGTATCTTGATTTGAGTTCCTTCTGAGACTAAAGCAAGATTTTCCAACGGGACAAAGCCATTTAGTCTTCAATAATTCTTACTTAGTTTTCTCATACCAAGGGAGTCATTTCTTGTATCTTTTAAAAGCTAGATCATTTTGCTTTGTCTCATCGGCCAATCTGAAAGTTAGAAATATATGTTTTTTACTTGTACTCACTTTCATTCAGAGCTACAAGTGTTTAATATAATTTGAAATACAGCCAAAGTAGTTTGTTGAAAGCTAATGCTGAAGACCATAATATGCTAAGTAGCAGTTAACAGTGTGATGCTATTGCTATGGTCCCCAGCACTCGCTTTTCTCTAGGGGAGAACCACACTGAACCAGAACTGCCCCGAAACCAGTCCAAAACCATTCCAGGACCTTGAAAATGGGCTTGTCATGGAAAGAAAGCAACCAAATTGGGTAGAAGGTAGAGCTCCTCATATTTCATAGATAAAAGGTAATTTCATAAAGAATAATGAACAGAAAAAGTCACAAAGTTTTGAAGACATACAGCTTTATTGGACTGATCAAAATATCAAACATTATTCACACGCTGTATATTACACTATAAATACTGTTAACGTTGTATAAACCTACTTGTTGCAAAAAATAACATTATTCACACGCTGTATAAACACTATATTACACTATAAATACTGTTAACGCTGTATAAACCTACTTGTTGCAAAGTTTGCATGTTTTATCAGAGCACCTGATTTTAACTTTATAAAGAAAGCGTCATCGCTTGTTAAGGGAGTCGGGACGGAAATTCGACATTGACACTGAACATTCAGCACTTTTTAATGTGTGATTTACGAGATCACGGGATACCAACCTTTAGTGAACTTCACCAGCCGTCTTCTCTGCACCAAAATTAATAGACACAGCTGCTTACAGCGATGATCGCTGATGGAGACGGAGACACGCGGTGTGCACGAAGGGGAGGGGCTGTGTGTGTGTAGGTCTCTGTATGTGGGAGAGACGCGTAGCTTGAGTGAGAGTTACGAAGGGCCGCCACATTTTAAACCCCCCTCCCCGCTGTCAAATTGACCGCTGCGGCGGCACTAGACGATGCATGTTTTAAATAGCGTAACAAAAAATATATATATATAACAATACGAAACGCAATTTGTGGCGGGCGGTCTCTAATCTGTGGCGGTGCGCCACAGATTAGTCTATGTGTGGGAAACACTGCCTCTATACATACACTCTCATACTAAGGATATCTGACCTTAATCTATCATTATCACGCTACTTTTTATTGTGTCAAACCTGACCTCTGACCTCACTCTGACGCAGTGGACTTGGCAGCTTGTGTGACATCTTGGATTTACTTCATGGATTGATTGGCGTGGTCTCTGTCCTTCAGTGAGACGTATCAGTCGTCCCCTGAGAAGTCTTAGTCGTCTAAGACTCCTCTGAGTCGCCTCCAAACGGCTCCGTCATCACTTTGCTGACCTTCCCCTAAAGTCTTTTGTTAAACATGCTAATCTTCTGCTCAGAGAAACAGAGAAACTCACAGAAAGATCCAGAACTCTGCTGCAAAAACTGCCTCAGACACAGTTCTCTGCCGAGCCACTCAAAGGAGGAGGGAGTGTTTATTTACTGAACGAGAAGCGGAACAGAAGAGTTTAGTCCAAACTAATGAGCGCTAAGTGTGTGTAAATACAGATCGCTTGGCTTCTGGCAGGAAATGGCTCTGATATATAAACAAACATGAGCGGGATTAGGAATAATGTTTTGTTTTATATTGAGACACTAACAAGACCTAATGATTGTAAAGTGTGTGTGTCAGCCTGTGTGGTGTGACGGATCACAAAGTGTTTGTGATAAAATGAGTTGTTAACTGTGTGTCTCTCTTCTTCTTCTGTAGGTTTGTGTTTACAAGTCAAACTCCAGCGGTGTCTCCCCTTCAAGCACAAGGTGAGGATAAAGGAGGGTTTAATTGGTGTTTCTGCTGCACTTTCTCCTTGGGGGAAACTTGGAGAAAGACCAGAAGGAGAGAGAGAGCAAGTAGAGAGAGAGAGCAGAGAGAGAGACCAGAAATAGGGACCAGAGAGAGAGACCAGAGGGTGAGCGAGAGACCAGAGGGTGAGCGAGAGACCAGAGGGCGAGCGAGAGACCAGAGGGCGAGCGAGAGACCAGAGGGCGAGCGAGAGACCAGAGGGCGAGCGAGAGACCAGAGGGCGAGCGAGAGACCAGAGGGCGAGCGAGAGACCAGAGGGCGAGCGAGAGACCAGAGGGCGAGCGAGAGACCAGAGAGACCAGAGGGCGAGCGAGAGACCAGAGAGACCAGAGGGTGAGCGAGAGACCAGAGAGACCAGAGGGTGAGCGAGAGACCAGAGAGACCAGAGGGCGAGGAGAGACCAGAGGGCGAGCGAGAGACCAGAGGGCGAGCGAGAGACCAGAGGGCGAGCGAGAGACCAGAGGGCGAGCGAGAGACCAGAGGGCGAGCGAGAGACCAGAGGGCGAGCGAGAGACCAGAGAGACCAGAGGGCGAGCGAGAGACCAGAGGGCGAGCGAGAGACCAGAGGGCGAGCGAGAGACCAGAGGGCGAGCGAGAGACCAGAGAGACCAGAGGGCGAGCGAGAGACCAGAGAGACCAGAGGGTGAGCGAGAGACCAGAGAGACCAGAGGGTGAGCGAGAGACCAGAGAGTGAGCGAGAGACCAGAGAGACCAGAGGGTGAGCGAGAGACCAGAGAGACCAGAGGGTGAGCGAGAGACCAGAGAGACCAGAGGGTGAGCGAGAGACCAGAGAGACCAGAGGGTGAGCGAGAGACCAGAGGGTGAGCGAGAGACCAGAGGGTGAGCGAGAGACCAGAGAGACGAGAGGGTGAGCGAGAGACCAGAGAGACCAGAGGGTGAGCGAGAGACCAGAGAGACCAGAGGGCGAGCGAGAGACCAGAGAGACCAGAGGGCGAGCGAGAGACCAGAGAGACCAGAGAGACCAGAGGGTGAGCGAGAGACCAGAGGGTGAGCGAGAGACCAGAGGGTGAGCGAGAGACCAGAGGGTGAGCGAGAGACCAGAGGGTGAGCGAGAGACCAGAGGGTGAGCGAGAGACCAGAGGGTGAGCGAGAGACCAGAGAGACCAGAGGGTGAGCGAGAGACCAGAGAGACCAGAGGGCGAGCGAGAGACCAGAAAGACCAGAGGGTGAGCGAGAGACCAGAGAGACCAGAGGGTGAGCGAGAGACCAGAGAGACCAGAGGGTGAGCGAGAGACCAGAGAGACCAGAGGGAGAGCGAGAGACCAGAGGGTGAGCGAGAGACCATAGAGACCAGAGAGACCAGAGGGTGAGCGAGAAACCAGAGGGTGAGCGAGAAACCAGAGGGTGAGCGAGAGACCAGAGGGTGAGCGAGAGACCAGAGGGTGAGCGAGAGACCAGAGGGTGAGCGAGAGACCAGAGGGTGAGCGAGAGACCATAGAGACCAGAGAGACCAGAGGGCGAGCGAGAGACCAGAGAGACCAGAGCGTGAGCGAGAGACCAGAGGGTGAGTGAGAGACCAGAGGGTGAGCGAGAGACCAGAGGGCGAGCGAGAGACCAGAGGGCGAGCGAGAGACCAGAGGGCGAGCGAGAGACCAGGGGGCGAGCGAGAGACCAGAGGGCGAGCGAGAGACCAGAGGGCGAGCGAGAGACCAGAGGGCGAGCGAGAGACCAGAGGGCGAGCGAGAGACCAGAGGGCGAGCGAGAGACCAGAGGGCGAGCGAGAGACCAGAGGGCGAGCGAGAGACCAGAGGCGAGCGAGAGACCAGAGAGACCAGAGGGCGAGCGAGAGACCAGGGGGCGAGCGAGAGACCAGAGGGCGAGCGAGAGACCAGAGGGTGAGCGAGAGACCAGAGGGCGAGCGAGAGACCAGAGGGCGAGCGAGAGACCAGAGGGCGAGCGAGAGACCAGAGGGCGAGCGAGAGACCAGGGGGCGAGCGAGAGACCAGGGGGCGAGCGACCAGGGGGCGAGCGAGAGACCAGGGGGCGAGCGAGAGACCAGAGGGCGAGCGAGAGACCAGAGGGCGAGCGAGAGACCAGAGGGTGAGCGAGAGACCATAGAGACCAGAGGGTGAGCGAGAGACCAGAGAGACCAGAGGGTGAGCGAGAGACCATAGAGACCAGAGGGTGAGCGAGAGACCAGAGGGTGAGCGAGAGACCAGAGAGACCAGAGGGTGAGCGAGAGACCAGAGGGTGAGCAAGAGACCAGAGAGACCAGAGGGTGAGCGAGTGACCAGAGAGACCAGAGGGTGAGCGAGAGACCAGAGAGACCAGAGGGTGAGCAAGAGACCAGAGAGACCAGAGGGTGAGCGAGAGACCAGAGAGACCAGAGGGTGAGCGAGAGAGACCAGAGGGTGAGCGAGAGACCAGAGAGACAATTTTATTAATTAATAAAAAAAACACAAAGCCACACAAAAAAAATCAGTATGACATCCCAAATATCTTACAACAGCGGTGCTCTGGCTGGGGGCACATGCATTAGATTACTGGGACTTAACCATACTGTATGTGTGTACTGTATGTGACAAGTCCTAGTCCTGGACCACAACTGGTTTTGAGGCCTCCGGATAAAAGCACAAATACAACTTCTTCTTAAAGTCCAAAGAATGTTCCCAAACTGATAAAAGTACCATCCATAAGTGCAGACATGAAGGACCCATCCCGGCTTTTTCAAGATGGCGGAGTAGGACATCTCCCGACTAGATACTCCCTCTGTTTGCGTTTAAAAGCCTTTGCCATTCTAACTTTTATGCAACTCAACCTAAGACTACGGTTGATGAATATTTCTTCGCTCATATGCCACCAAAGACTCGCTCAAATTTAAAGAATACAGCAGCGCAAATGAATCTCCAAGCCACAGAACCTCAGGGGCTCACTGAGGCCTACCTTGAATCAACTCTAGCTAAGTTCTTTCAAGAGGCAGAAGGTAAATCTAAGCAGAGATTCGAACGCTTGGAGGATCACCTTGGTACCCTACAAGAAACTCTGAACAAACATTCTGAAGAAATCAACGCGCAACGCGCCGTTGTTGCTACTATTCAGACGCGTGTTCAAAACAATGAGGACGCGCTGCACAAATTGAACAACACCATAAACCTGCTTGAGAACAAATTTGTGGCTCTGGAAGACCGAAGCAGGCGTGACAATATCCGGATTATGAACATCAGTGAAGGAGAAGAAAAAGGAAATGCGCTGGCTTACCTCTCAGGAAACATACCCAAATGGCTGCCCGGCTTGGCTGGAAACCCACCGGAGCTAATGCGGGCACATCGTATTGGGGCGCCGAGAGAATCCTTTCCCAGAGTGTTAATCGTGAAGTGCCTCAGGTCCACGGATAGAGACCGCATTTTTAACGAAGCAAGGAAGTCCCCCGTGCAGCTGTCTGGGAAGACCATTCGTTTCGCTCCGGATTATAGCGATATTACGGCTAAAAGGAGACGGCCTTGTTATCCACTGATGTATCGCGCACGGAACGTGGGATTCGAAGCATTCCTTCTTTATCCAGCAACGATCAAGCTTACGAGAGGCAACGAGCAACACCTTTTCAGCAATCTGCTCGATGCGGAAAGTTTCATTTCCAGTCATGAAGCTTCCCCAACTTCTACCCGGTAAGACTTGTCACATGACAGTTTGTTTACTTACGCGAAGGGACGACACCGGACGGATGACGTCATGATTGGTTATTTATTTTTTTTTTTTCCTATCCCAATGACTGGACTATATTACTTCTATTGAAAATAAATCTCTGCATTTGCAATCTCTATTTATTTATTTTATTTGTTTTTGCTCTTTCCTGGCATTAGAGTTTCTATTTTTCTTCTCTTTTTATTTTTATTTTTATTTTTTTTATTTTTTTATTTTTTTTTCTTTAAAATCTTTTTATTTATTTATTTTATGTTTATTGTTTATTTTTATTTTTTTTATTTTTTTATTATTCTTTTTAATTATTATTTGTTTCTTGTTTATTATTATTTTAAAAAAATATATATATTTTTGTATTTATTTATTTTTATTTTTTATTTATTTTCTCTATTCAATTCATTCATATCTAATATGACTGCAGATAGGGTATTCCACACAGAGGGAGTGGGGTCTGGATGTAATTTTTCTCTAGTCTGTCTTGTTCACAGTCATTTTTGGGGTGGGATGAGGGGATAATCTGGGACCCGGATGGGAGGAAGGGGGGGGGGAGGGTGGGGACCTTATGGAGTTAAAAACGGTCATTCATACTCTTTGGTGTCAATGCTTACTTTCCTTCTTCACTATGAGTAGCATAAGATTGCTATCGTGGAATGTGCGGCGTCTGAATATTCCACTAAAAATAACTAGTACTCTGGATCTCCTTCATAGAAAAAATATAGAAGTAGCCATGCTACAAGAATCTCACCTCCTAGAGAAAGACGTTAACAAGATGCAGAATAACCATTTTAAAGTAATCGCGTCTTCTTCTTTTATTAAAAAAGCAAGAGGTGTTTTGATCTTGGTTAAACATACACTTCATATCACACTCTTGGGTTCTGGATGTGACACATCGGGAAGGATTGCATACGCCAAATTAATCATAAATGGGTCTAAATTTGCATTTTTGTCAGTATACGCACCAAACGAGTTTGACATTGAGTTCTACAACCACCTAACAGACATAGTGTGTGGTTTAGCTGACTTTACTCTGATAGTTGGAGGGGATTTTAACGCTGCCTGGTCTCACACTCTGGACAGATCGTGCATAAATCAATCAAGGGATCAACGCCTAAGCTCCGAGGCCCTAAGACAATGGGCCGCTGATTGCTCTTTGGTGGACGTATGGCGCATCACACACCCAAAATTAAAACAATTCACATATTTCTCTCCCAGACACCAATCATCTTCTCGTATTGATTATATTTTTGTTTCTACACATATGCATGATAAAACCTCAGACTTTGATTTCCTCCCAATG